GGGGTAGGTTTGCCTCTTCCATCCAAAATACCTCGACTCCTGTTGCCAGTAGGGAATTAAGTATAGTTGGGGCTCCTAGGCATATTTTTTTTGGGGGCTTTAGTTCAACCCCCCCCCAAGCCTGAGGCCCAAGGTACGTGTTTCATTGCCTTAATGAATAATCCGCCACTACCAGTTATAAAGCAAATGGCACCAAGGGAAAATTTTATAACTAAGGAATCATTTGTTTTTCACTATTCATATAATATGATGTAAAGTCCTATATTATTAAGCTTTTAATGGTTATAAATACTTTCTGATTTTAAACACTTTAATAATAATTATGTTAAATACATTGCATACTATATTAAACATAATGTTGTTACTGCAATCAAAACTTCAAAATGTATGATAATTTCTATTAACTCCATTAAATATTATGTAATAATCTTAAGAATATAAATATTTACTGAACTGAAAATATATGGCAAATAGCTAATAGTAGTAAATATTATTATAGCAGAAATACTTTAGCCCTAGGTCATTATAGGACCAATTAAGATGTGTAAATTAATAAAATTATTAGAGTGAAAAGAACCTTTGTAACAGTTAATAATTTTGTGATATAAATATTTATTTTCTTGCATTTTTATTTGTTTAACTATTTCAATACATGTCATTATTATTTTGTGATGTCGATATTTAAAATTAAAAATTGTAAAGTTTTGTATTATTTTGAACAGTTCCTACTAAACGTTTCCCAATTTTCCAAATAGCAATGTACTTTTATTTATTTTTATAACCTATAGGAAATTCGACTTTAATGCTGCCATCCTTTATTGGGCTATAAAGGTACAAATTGGATAGGTATCGGCATAACCTACATATCGAATATAGCATTTATTATATAAAACTTTTCAAAATATTAATACAAAAAACGAAAATACGCAAACAAAACAAATGGCAGATATATTTCAATGGATAATGGAAAATTCGTAGAACAAAATCATTAAAAGTTGAATGGACAATAACTTACATGATAGTAGAGGTAATTTGATGCACTTTATTTGTTATTGTTATTGTAAAATTAGTCTATAGTAGGTCATATATTTATTTTCCTTATATGTACAGTCATTAATTATATAAAATATTATTGTTCCAAACTAATTAATTCCTTTTATTATAAATAAACTTATATTTTGCTCAATAAATAAAATATTTTGTTTTGATAATTTCAATCCGGCCTATAGTGAAATTGCTCATTGTATATTATAAAGGCTTACAATTGTATATACTAAATTTGTTGTTAAAATATAACGTGATTATATTTCAAAAATATTTAAATAATTGGAAATTAAGAAGTAAATCATAAAAAGATTACAATTGTTATCAAATAATATTTTAGGATGAAACTAATTGAAGATTTCTAAATCGTACAAAAAGATTCGACTGTACATAGAAATTATTTTTAATTTTACTCAATTACAATTTTATTTTATTTTGAAGTTTTCAAACCGGATTAGAGTGAATTGCTGTAATTTATAAACATAACTATATTTAATAACAATTAATTTATATATTTAATATATGCTATATGTTTTATTTGCAGTCAAATATTTAGAACAATACTATTACGTGATGTCACTAAAATTAATATTAAATTAGTGTAGTATTTATCACATTTTCAAATAATGGGGATAAACCTTTAAAGTAAACTGGTTCATCCCTGATCAGTAACCAATGGCAATCGTAGCAACCAATAAAACAATGAACGTGCTTCAATTTATTAGGTTTATATAAGAATTGTTATGGATACGATGGGTTTCCAACGATAGAACATATCTGATTTAAGAAGTAAATCATAAAAAGATTACAATTGTTATCAAACAATAAATCATTATTGATTAAATTTTAAATGAAAAAAACAATGATATTAAAGATATTAGTACTTTTCTTACATTATTAAATATATTTTTTTGAAACTATTATTATAATGTTTTTGATCAATGAACAAATAAAAAAATATTATACATAATACTATTTTAAATTTATAATTAAATAAAAATCATTAAAAATTATTTATATTTGCAATTAATAACAGAATATTTGATCTTTGTAGTTGAAATTTATATTTGCTAGCTTCTGAATAATTGGGAAACATATTACTAAGTATAGTTAAAAGCTTTTATTCAAATCAAATAAAATTATATAACAAAATAGAGATGTGTTTAGAAAACATAACTTCTGCTTGTTAAAAACTAAAATAATAAAATTTGTTTCTATTAAAAAAAAAATGTAATTATATTATTGAATTAAAATTGTATACAAAATATATCTTTGTAAAGAAAGTTAAAAGCGTTACACAAAAGAAAAAATGTGACATATAAGGATCAAAAGATCTTTTCATAGAATCCTGTTAATTAATAAATATAATTAAAAGAACGTTGTGCGCACTCAAAGAAATATGACAAGGACAAGCTTAAAAAATGCAAAAATACGGAACGAGTGTAATCCACAATAAATTAAATTACCCCCATTTTCCATCGTCGGCACTGAAAAAGGAAATGTGGGCCACGATAATTCAATAATGCAATTTTCCGCGACGTCTTCATCTTGTTTTTCGAAATCGTCGAGGTGAATGTGAAAGAAAACGTTCTCGCCGGATCGGGATCAAATGAAACTTGAAACTTTACTTTCCAAAAACAGATGAAAATGGCAATTAAATGAAGCAAACGTGTAAATAGATGGCGGATTAAGAATGTTGGAGATGGAAGGATAAAAAAAACGCAAAATGCGGTATGCGCGCAAAAAAAAGTGAATAATAATTTTTAATGGAAATCGCATCCTACTTTTAAGCCGTTTTCTCCTCGTACGCATTTATTTTTTTTACTTATTTCGTTTTATTTTATTCATTTTTTTTAAAATTTTATTTTCCGTTCTCCCTGACCGTCACTTTCCAATTACGTTCTTCTAACGGTACACCGGCTACAAATTAGTTAATGTGGCTTACTGTAGTTCATCCTACTACTTCGGCCTTTGCATACATACATAGCTCGAATGGAATTTGACATGGAACGAAATTACAATTTAAATTTCGTTTTTTGGGTTAAGAGAAATTTTGTATGCGTAATGAGAAAGAAAAAACTTATAAAAATAAAAATTTATAGTTTAAAAAAAATCAACATTTTTTAGATTTTCTTCAAACCAAAACTATTCAATGAACGTGAACTTTAAAAGTATAAAAAAAATATGTATTTTTGTTACTTGCTTCAAATCAAAACTGTTCAGTGAAAGTAAGTAAAGTTGTATTTGCAATTATGGAAATACAATAAATAATCATTATGGAAGTAGAATAATTGTAGATTTCGATTTTTTGGGTTGTATGCTTCCTTGATGAGGAATTTGGAGGCATCTTGGAATGCGGGATAGAAGGAAATTTTCGTTTGGTTATCGAAACGAGCCGAGTCTGTCTCTCCCGCCTCTGGCTATCTGAATTCATTTAGTTCTTTACCTACTTCTTCGTCTACGTGAATGGGCCTTGACCCACAAAGACTACGTACGAGAACTTCCTTGAAATTGAAATGCATCGAGTGAATCATACCATCCAACGAAACAATTAAATACGATCCTCAGCATTCCTGACATATATATTCGAAACTTTATTTTAATTTAAACATGTAGAAACTTTCTTATTATCCCACTAGAAATTTGATATGTTAATCGTTGTTTTATCAAGACCTCCAGTTTCTCTCAATGACTAATAGTTATATAAATATAAAAGAATTTAAATATCTTCGTATATGAAATAAGTATCTACTTATAGTTATATATAATTTCATATATTTTTAAAATTGATTTAGGTTTTTTTCTATACTAGAGTATTAATAATTTTGTTTTTACTAAATAACACATATAAAAAAATCACTAAAGTAAATCAGAATTTTATGTAACATCATAAGCTAATATTCATTTGAAATATAATGTCCAAATTCAAAATGTTAAAATAAAGTAACTTACTTATATACATTTATCGTTACAATACACTACCTGTGAAGTAATTTTTAATGTAATTTGTAGTACGTATAAAATTTTAATGTTAAAAATACACGACTCGATTTTAGACAAGTATCTAATTCATTTTGGTTTAAATCCATTATTTTTAATATTAATATAAAAATAAGCAATAAACTAAATAATTAATTCTTCTATAATCATATAACATTTATAATTATTATATAAGAATATATTCAAGGTTCTTTAAATTCATATTTTTACAATAAGATTGAATTATTTATTTTGATAAATATTAAATTAATTTCTAACAAACAATTGTATTCATTAATATCAAACTAAAATTTACTTCTGTACCACCAAAAGCTAATTAGTATTCGATCATCATTTCTTGGTTCTTTTTTCTCTAACAAAACTACAAAGAGCTCATCTTTTTTTCATGGGCTAAACGATTTTTGAAAGCAAACTTCGGCCAACACTGAGAAAGAATCTTTGATCCTGCAACTGCGATTAAACCTTCAACGTATATACTTTTTGTTCTTTCTTTTTGTTAAACACAATTCACATCACAGACACTTCCCACACTGATCAATACAAATTGCATTGCCACTTTTCCCATCCCCCGAGGCAAAAAAATCCCTCGTCCAATATTTAGGTGGGTCCCTATACGAGTTTTTTTGCTCTCACTTCCTCCGAGGATCATAAATTCAATTACGTAATGTGTCGACATAAAGTGTTTACAAATCAAATCTAATATGTTCCTCATGTTAAGCATTTATCTTATTTTTCGTATTTGTTTTGTTGGTGTAATTAAAATCAAATTAAATTCACTTGGGTGGGTCGAGGCCAGAAGTGAGTGAAGCCCAGGCGAAATACGTTTGCAAACAGCTGCGAACAACAGCACTTTAACGCTAAAAGCCTTTCAGTCTGAAACCTTGCGTTTGGGATTTGAAAGCGCCTTTGCATACGATCCACTAAACAAAAAATAAACGGTTCGTCCTTTGTTTCAGAGAGCCGGAAGTTGTTTGGAGGATATAGGATAACACCCAAGTTCTGCGAACCGACGCGGAGGTTATCGGACCAGTTCCAAGGGCCAACCATATGCATGTTTAATCATGACTGCTTGCAAAGAAGAGGAGTTGTTGTTGGAGCTTGCATGGATGGATTCTTTTTCGGGGCCTGTTGTCATCTTCCTGCTGAAACTGTTGGAGAACTCTTAGAATTGGATAGCAGACCTTCATCTTATGGTCCCGATAATACCATAGTAACACAGTTCACCAGACCTCCGACTTTTCTGGGAGACATAACATCTTCTGGTGTTTCGCATATAACAAACACTTTGTTGCAAGGAGCTTTGCCAACTGCTCAGGAAAACGCCGTGTTCCAGATCAACGATCAAGATCACTTTAGCACTGCCGGAGTCACGCATCCAACTGCTCCAGATACGTTGGTAATTAACAACGCTAACAATGAGATTAATGGAGAAGATTTCCAACCCATTATGGAGGATAGGAAGACTACTTTTAGCATAGAAGAAACCACTCATCCTTATATACCTGACGTTTCTCCTTACATACAAATATCGATTTCGAACGCTCCTCCATTCTACACAACAGCTCCAGGCTTCAACAAACCAATCTTCAGACCAAAACCGCAGAAACCTTCTGATGCTGACAAGTACATCCTTGTCCCAACTATCAATCATGAAGCAACAAAACCAAACAAAACGGAAATAGATTCAATCGTCAACATAATTCAGATGCTGGATGAGACTTCCACTGGAACCTATACCGGTGGATCAACAATAACAACTACAAGAAAACCACCATCCACGTCTTATGTCTTCAGCGCAACAAACACCAAACGTCCTACAGCAAAACCAACGACAACTCCGCCACGGAAAACTACAACAAAGAACAAGACAACTACGAAGAAAACAACTACCAAAATTACTTCCACAAAGAAACCGGTTTATATTCCAAGTTCCACCTTCAGGCCGGTCCATTCCACTTACGTGAATTCAAATTACCAAACTACCAAGAAACCTCCAAGCACCTCTTACGTGTACAGCTCTACAGTTACTCGGCGCCCGACAATTTCTCAGACATCTGCGAGTCCGAGTCCTCCGACTGTAATAGTTTTGGGATCGATCGACCCAACCCGTTACACCACCTCAAAACCATCGACCTACGCACTTCCATCTCCTTACACCACCCAAAGACCGACCACCTACACGGTTCCTTCAAAGCGCCCAGTGACCTTCACCATCAACAACCACTATACCCAGAATGTTTACAGCACATCCACTGAAAGACCTTCGCCAACTGTCTTGATAACACCAAAGCCAAGCACACAGCCCTCAACCAGCTTCCAGACTGAAGCGGTCGAAGCTGAAACATCCGCCGACGATTTAATCAATTTCCCGCCCGTTCGCAATCCGAATCTCAACATGTCCATTCCCGTTTTCGATGAGAGCGATATCACCACTCCAGATTTTATTGAGGATGATATACTAAACACTAAAGTAGAATCATTTGTTAACAAAATTATCGAGGGACTACAAGAACCTTTTCAAGGACTCAAAGACGTTGTATACAATAAGAACAAAACAGCAGTTGATACAACTACCAAGAAACCCATCAAAAAACAAGGAACATCAAGGAAACCTACAAGTAAACCTACAACTAAACCAGTTGTGAGCACAACTGCTGGAAAAGCTACAACAAAGAGGCCGACATCTAAAAAACCTACCACTGTTATAACTACAAAAAGGACAACTGTAAGCACGACCACAAAAAGGACAAAACCAACTAAGAAAATTACAACGACTCCCAGTTATATTGAAGCAGATGAAGGAACGACTCCATCAGATAGCATTAGTCAAGATTATAGAACTCGTAAGTTGATCTTCATAAAACACCGTTAGATAATGCAAATGAATAAATTTGTTTTACAGAATGTGGTATAAGGCCTCTAATGAAGTCAGGCAGGATCGTAGGAGGTAAAGCTTCCACTTTCGGCGAATTCCCATGGCAAGTTTTGGTACGTGAATCCACATGGTTGGGTTTATTCACCAAAAACAAATGCGGCGGTGTGCTGATCAGCAATCGTTACGTGATGACAGCCGCTCATTGTCAACCAGGATTCTTAGCTTCTTTAGTCACAGTTTTCGGTGAATTCGATATTTCTGGAGAACTGGAATCGAAGAGAGCGATCAGCAGAAACGTGAAGAGAGTAATCGTGCACAGGCAATACGACCCAGCCACCTTCGAAAACGATTTGGCTCTATTAGAATTGGAACATCCCGTGCAATTCGATCAACACATCAGTAAGTATACATTCTAAATAGTTCCATTCATATTAGTTCTATATAAGTCCATTACATGATAAAAATATGATTACAATTCAGTATTGATTAGGTGTTGAAATTGATGGAGAAAATTAAATGATTGATTGTAGAACTAGTAAGTTTGATTTATTGGTCTGCAAGTGGATACATTGAATATTTACAATGCAATCCAATTAGTTTTGCGGCACTATTCAGAAAATGATCGATGTTGTGCGAGAGCTGCGATTCATAATTACAGATTTTCCGCTTGTAATTCGTGAAAGCCGTTGGGAACTAACAACCTTTTTACCTCAACTCAAGAAAAAAAAAAGGAAAGAGAGAAAAAAAATATATATAAATAAGTAAACGCAGATCCTTTAATCCCACGGTCCAAATAATCGTAGAAAGCTTATGCAAAATTCAATCTACTTTCAACCGAATTATTTCATCGAGCAGTTGGAACATGCTCAAAGAGCATGTCTAACGATAAGAGTAATCGATTAATGAGTTTTTTATGTTTGTTTAATTAGTTCCCATCTGTCTTCCGAGAGATCACGAGGACTTTACCGGTAGAATGGCTACAGTCACCGGATGGGGAAGGCTGAAGTACGGAGGCGGCGTTCCATCCGTTCTGCAAGAAGTTCAAGTACCGATCATGGAAAATACAGTATGCCAAGAGATGTTCAGGACTGCCGGCCACTCGAAGGTCATCCTGGAATCGTTCCTGTGCGCGGGATATGCAAACGGACAGAAGGATTCGTGCGAGGTATTTGATATGGGATAACTTATTCATGGACAAAGATCTAAAGATTTTTTTTGTATTATCTCTAGGGAGATTCCGGTGGTCCTCTGGTATTACAAAGGCCTGACGGAAGATATCAATTGGCAGGGACAGTTTCGCACGGCATCAAATGCGCTTCGCCCTATTTACCTGGCGTTTACATGAGAACCACCTACTACAAACCTTGGATCGGATCTGTGACCGGAATCCACTAAAGCGACGGAGAAGGATCATCTTGTGTAATCGATAGGAATTTGAAGAGAAGAAAAGTTTATTTTGTTTTGTATTTGGGACGCATTAAGGCAACAAATTTGCTATTGTGATTAATGTACATTTTTTTACCTGAACCTTTAATGTAATTAATGTTAACGGAGAACAAAAAAGAACATGTACTTGAAAAATGAAATGTTTATGTAAATTATTTATTTATTTTCGAAACAAGCAAGGGAAAATCAGCTGTCTTTTTAATTTATTTTTTATTGTTTTGTTGATTTTTTTTTTGTTATATGGAAGCGCATTGAAACTGAGTTGAAACGAGATGCGAGCAGAAAGAGACACGAGTCTCTTTCATTTATTTATATTAATTTATCCGCTTTATGTATTATAGTTTATTATGTATGTGTAAAAGTCAAATTTAGTATTGTTATAATAAAATATGTAAATAGTTATTGTTCTTTTGATACACCTAGATCCACCAATCAATGTTCACATTCTTCTATTTAATACTTTCAAGGTAATAAATCCTCAATTAAAGATAGACAACCAAATATTCACAAACGAACTAAAAAATAAAAGTATACATTTTAATATACTAGATTAACAAAATTTCCCAATTTTATTCTTTCGTTATTAAATTAAATTTAAGGCACAATAATAAATAAAAGTTATCAATATAATTATATACTTTTATAATTATGAAAATATTCACATATTTTTTTTCCGCCTTAACTTAAAAATAAATATTTTATAGATGTATAATATTTACTTAATCTATACTATACTTTTATATTAAATATTATCATGTAAGTACACTATAACTTAATGTATTAACACGGAAAATCATCTTAATTCTAACAAAAGTTGCCTAGATTTCAGTGGAACCTGAGATATAAAATTTTATTATTTTTACTACAAAAAGCTCAAATATAATCATTATTGTTTATTTTTTATATATCTATCAATTTGCTGTAATTAGAAAAGAAACGTTAAAATTCCATGTTTGAAAATTAATTTCAACTAATTTCAGTTTTTTATTGAAATAACAACGATTAATTAATTAAAATATAAATATATTTACTTTATCTCACTTAATTTTGAAGTTATATTAAAAAAAACAACTGTGAAGAAACATGACAAACTGTGCAAAATAACTTTATTTTACATGAATTTACATGTAAATTGAATATTTCAATCATGAACATACGAATTTTATCCGGTTAATTAATTTTATGTTTAATGTCTTGTATCTATTTTAATTAAAATATTAAGATCCGTTAAAAATTACGTAAAGTCGTTAACTTACATATAGATAAAATCAAACTGAATTATGGAATCATATGTTTATTTACAGTTTATTTTTTAAATTTCCGTTTTATCAACAAGTTGTAGAATGTTAGTTTATCATTAATTGCATGTTGCTAGTGGATGTTACTTTTTGATAAATTACCAAAATGATTATTATATAATTGTTCACAACAAACAGACTGTTCTATTAAAAATCTTCATTGATACTGACTCCATTCGTAAGTCACCATTTTGATATTCTTAAAATAAAATATTATATTTAACACTAAATTTCATATAAGTTACCAGTTAATAACTTTTTAATAACACAAAAGCGTGTTTATTTTATAACATCAAAGTCAATTTTAATAAAAGTCATGAACAAATTAATGAAGAATCCCTTTTCTGAAGGCGTGTCATGTAATTGTAATGTTTATTTTCTCGCGAGAATAATTTAATTGGTAGCCGTGTCGCGTCGGATGGAAATGCATTAATTTCTAATTCTGTTTTGCGCTCTACTGAGCGTTAAGGGCTCAAACAACATGTGTGTAGGCGTTTTTTAACATCCGCTCTACCCTTGTATATATATATACACGCAGGGTCTGCGGTAATGGAAACGCGATCATCCGTGACCTTTTGCAACAGGACGAACCACATCAAAAAGTTAAAAAGCCAATCTCGGGTCAATCTAAAGAAGATGAAGACTAACAGGCGTACATTTATATCAAAATACACGGAAATCTTAGAATGATAAGCCATATATAAGGGTCTTCTTACTTCAGTCAATATTTTGTTGATCGTGAATTACTTTTTATAGCATACAAGATACGAAACGAGGAATACGTTCGCAACCTTTTTCTCCTCGCGGGCCTCTTGTAAAATCCGAAATAATTTAGCGAACTCCGTATATATGATAATTGTTAAAGACATTTAAAAAACAAAATTTGGTAGAACATTTATTATCCATATTGAACAATAGTTCATTACAAGAAACAAAAACATAATCGAAAACATCCAAATATTAATAAGATTAAAATGATAGTTATAAAAAAATGAATAAAAAATGAATTCAACAAATATAAATATGAATAAAAAAGTAATGGGATATTTGTGGCTGTTGTTGATGGAACAAAGCAATTCAAAGTTTGGTTCAATAGATAACAATTTCAGTTTTGGATCAGGTTCTGAATTTAACTTGTTTCTGTATTTATCTTTCAGATAAATATATGTAAAAAAATCCTTTCTCACATAGATATATTGTGCAAAAGGACAATAGATCTTCAATAGCTTTATTGACACGATATTCATTTTTATTACCAATTTTCAATAAAAGAGTGATCTTTAAAAATAGTTCTTAGAGAATTTATTGCATTTATTGGAAAATTAGTTGTCTAAAGGTTATTGTAAATGTTCACATATATTCCTTTTAGTGTTTTCGTCAAGTTTAATTAAATTTTCCGATAAAAATGTCCTGAGAAAACCAAAACATTCGTCTGTTTCATCTGCAAACATTGAATCTAAAAATTGAACTTTTTTAGCAAGGACTCAATTCTATCATGCTCACAGAAAATGGTGACACCAATTTACACAATGGAATACACATGAGGACAAATGAAACGAATGAACTATAAAAAATGCTTCTTCGAATCTTCAAATCAAACAAGCGTGTCAAAATTATACTTTGTATTTTGCGTTTATTATTCTTTGGAGATTTAAAATTCCTTCATCTCAATATTATTTTTGCGATCCCCCGATTGGGAACCACTGATGTAGACGATCCGGTGGTCAACGACATTTTTTGTGTCGTCATGTCAGCACTGACACGTGTGTTTTTGGATGATTTAAAATAATCAATGTGAGAAATCTCAATCATAATTTTGGATATCCCTTCCTATTTATTTAAAAATAACTGTCAATAATAAAAGCAATAATTAACAATAATTAATTCAATTTGGATCAAAATTTAATATAAAAATATTCAAATTTATAACTATAATCTGATAAAATATAGGCAGCAGTTATACTAGAAGAATAAATTAAGACCCAAGAAATTAGAAATAAAGTTATACAGAAATATATTGAATGAAGAAAATGGTGGAGTTTCAGTGGAAGTTTGAAATACCTTGTTAACAACAAAGTTTAAGAGGTTCATACTAAAAAAAATTAACAACCAAATGATTTATAAACATCGATTTATTTTTTAGTGTAAATAAAAAGACAAAGTTAAATGAAAAAGACAAAACCATCAACTCCCGAAAATATATTAAACATATTAAGAAAAATAAATTGTCTTAAAAATGTTAGAAGACTAAAAGTTGTAAAAACCTATTCATTCTTCATAAAGAAAATAATATAATAATAAATTCTATTTATTTATAAGCAGCGATAGAATTATTTTTATTTCTAGTACCCTCTAGATCAGGATTTCCCAAACTATGTTTGACGGAACACTGGTGTGCCGCAGAAAGTTAATAGGTGTTCCGTGAAAACCTGGAATGAAATAATTCCTAAAAAAATATTAATGTTGTTTCTCATATTTACCCTACTGAATAAATAAGATATTCCGTGAACATTTTGTGATTTATGAAGTGTTCCGTTGCAGGAAACATTTTAGAAACCCTGCTCTAGTTCATTAACTTTAGACCAATATTTTAAAATGTAATTTAATTTTGTATGTTGACTGTTTATTTAATAAAACTTTTCTTTACAAAGTAACTATTTTTGCCATAGTTTATTTACGTTTGAAGTGTTCCGTTGCAGGAAACATTTCGGAAACCCTGCTCTAGTTCATTAACTTTAGACCAATATTTTAAAATGTAATTTAATTTTGTATGTTGACTGTTTATTTAATAAAACTTTTCTTTGCTTTTCATTTTCTTTACAAAGTAACTATTTTTGCTATAGTTTATTTACGTTTATTCGTTATCTATTTTTATTCGTTGTATGACAATACTAATAAAATGTAAAAAACATAAAACTGAATTCAAATCAGTAGACCCTTGTAAGAAAAAATATTGTTCATAATAATAATATGAAACATTTAGTATTTCTACAATAGTGGACTTAAAACTCGACTAATAAAACACCCCCTAATCTAAACAACTAGAAATGGCATTTAAATTGTGCACCTGTGGCTACACCCTTACCTAATTTCCATGTTGTAAATCGATGGATCTTACCGAACGACTGTTTTCACAAGCAAGCACTTTAAGCTATAAATAAAAGATTTTAATACAAAAAAATGTTGTTTTTCGTCAGGTCTGCGACGACGGGAAGGAATATTAAAAGTTTCCTGGAGAAAACATTATACTAAACCACGAAGGACCCTCAAATGAAGAGACCGTGGGTGGAGATAATAATTTATAAAGTGAACGTCTGCCGGAAAGTTTACGCGATTCATATTCATATAATTCCAGAGAATGCTGCGCGAAAAATAACTTTAAATTTATGCTTATGGCATGTAGAAAATAGTGCCATCCTCCATCGATTTTTCACCCCTTTTATAGAAAAAGGAGAAAAATGAAAATCCCCTGAGATATTTTTTGTCTGCGAATTTTGCAAGTATTGAATAACGCAAATGGCGAATGCCGTCTGCATATTGATTCCGATATCCAAAACGTAATGAACGCTAAAGTTCTATGTTCTCTAACGGTGCCTCCGGCCAGGACACGGTGCTTATCGAATCCTGCGGAGCTTTTTCGAGGTCTTGCAACATGGGGCAACATGGCCACCCACGTCCTAGGATTCGGCGGTTCGCCCGAAGCTCGTCGGAGCTTTACGAAATTTCCACATATAAAGCCCCGCTTGTATCGAGCGAACTGCAATTCCACATCAACTGGGAAACTCCGCAGGAAGCTTTCCCGCAAAAGCTCTGAAATTTCAAGTGTCTTCAGTAGAGAGGACAACTCAACTCGCTTCCTTCGACGAAAGCTGCATAAGTAAGTGACAATGTACTTATTTTAAAAAAATACAAATGTTATTAAATGTACTTATAATAATAAACATTCACCACCACAGTAATATTATTTACCTATTATTCGTATATAAAACGCACTCACAAAATACAAAAATATTACTTTACAATACAGAATATACAAATTCGATTAACATACAAAAGTGACTGAAAATATACTGAATGTATTTAAAATTATTTGATTATTATAATATCAAATGATAACTTAATAAATAAGCAATTATGCCAATATAAAATGTTACATTTTGCGTTTTTTTTTTCATAAAAATTTTAATACTTTTATTATTACATTAATTATACTTGATATATTTTTTCTGTCCTTTCTTTTTAGTTGTTTTTTAATTTTGATATAAAGCAACTACTATTCTAGTAAAATTTAGTTTCACTGTAAATTTACGCAATATACAAGAAATAGACAATTAATTACACCAATTTTCTAATATTAAAAATGTACTTTCATTTTACAAGTTAGTTCACTTGAAAATCCAAATTTATGATGTTGAAGTGAAGTAATATTAAATTTAAAAAAATCTATAACTGTAAATTCTAATTTTTGTCATTACAAAAATTATAAAAAAAAATCATGTGTTTTCCGAAGAAAACAAAACTCAGTTAGTAATATTGCCTTTTTACACAGCTTTCAAAGCAGAATAACTTTCTATATAAACTATTAAGGTTATTATTATATTTTTATGTTACAAAAGAAATTGTATCTTTAATGCATAAAATAATTTTTAATTTTATACATTTATTTTAATCGATAATAATTTGTAATGAAGAAAAAAAAATATATATTTAGTGTATATTGGATGATATTTGTAGATATTATATAATTCTTAGGAATACATTTATAAAAATGACCTTAGTACATCTAAAAATATAATACTTCCCGTTTCTCATAATTAAATATTTCATAAACTAAAATCGATACGGCTGGAAAACATTCATAGTCACGGCAGAAAATAATTTGTCTTACGAATGTTTGAAGTGTCGTCGTAACAAGCAAATGCATCAACGTTAAACTTTTCAAAAAGAAAAACGGAATAAATTATTATGGAAACTTTATTTATATATTAAATGTTCAAAAATATTTTGTGATTTTCTTTTCTGTTAAAAATTCAATTAAATTTATTCAAAGATAGGTTATATAATTAATTGTTAAAATTTCAAAATTATTGGTTCAATTATTTCTTACTTCGAATTTGTCAAAATTTAATATACCATGATCTAAATAATAGAATAAACTAAGAACAATAAAATAAGTATACGGGTTAAAAAATTAAAATATAAACCTTGGGCGGAAACAATCGATCATTTTTTATATTATTGTTATTACGATTATATGAATATATTTTAATTTATATTTGTGTATATTCTATGACTTTTTTAACAAATTTATTATTATGAACTAAAAATCGGAATGATAAATTATTATAGAATCTCCATATATTCCGAAAATCCTTAATATTATCAAAACAAATAATGAATCTATGAAAACCTTTTAACACTTCATGAAGAAAATAATGTAATAATAAATTATATTTATGTATAAGCTGTGAAAAAAAACTAAACTCATTTTCTAGCATTCCCTCTAGTTTCTTTCTTATTCTCTATCAGAAATTATTTTGTTCTATGAATGTTGAAGTTCTTACAAAACAAATAATGAACAAAGAAAAAAAACTATTAATACTTTCTTAACAAAATAATAGGAAAAGGAATTGTGGTAATAATTTCACTTGTTAAAAAAATATATATACATTTATATAATTGTGTATAAAGTTCTAATCTCATCCAATATATATTGAAATATTGCTAAGGACTTATTTCTTAGTTTTAAGATTTTTTCTCTATTATTTCTATTCACAAAGCAATTTATGGTACGAATAACAATATTTTATCTAATTGCTTAAATATTTATTAAATTTGTTAATTTATTGTATATTATCATCTTAATCCTTTTATTGGCAGAAATTAACTTAAATAATTATATAATAATCATATTATTCCATATTATATTTCAATTTTTCAATAATATTATTTTATTAAAAAAGGTAGTTGATAAATCTAAATATAAATTTGTAATAAGAAAATAAAGTTCTATTTTTTTTAAATAATCGTGTGTGATTTAATTAGGATACAAAATAGCACTCGCATGTTTTACTTGTCTAATCTAATCCAATCCACGACGTAGCTTTAATGCATAATTTATTACGTAAGTAATCGCACTTCGTATACTCTTCTCGCGTGTTTTTCTTTTATGATCTGATATTAAAGAGCACCGTCGTAAATATTTTATTATAGCCTATTCTTTTTTTGGCCGTGAAAGCGTATTACTTTCAAACTTCCAACGTAGATATTTCACAAAATTAATTGTATATAGTTAACTTGAGGAACGTTTTTATTTGAATATTAAACTAAATTATATGAAAACAGTTTAATCAAACGATATTTATTTCTTATTAAATATTTTATCGGTAATTTATTAGCAGTTATTCATTCATTCTATAAAATTAGAGTAAGTTATTATACAAATATCAACATTAATATTTTTTTACAATAAAAACATTCAAAGTGTATTAATAAACAATAGTCTTTTTCAGACAGTTAATTCTTTATTAAAATTATATAAAAAGTTGTTTAATGGTTAAATTATTGATGGTAAAATCACAAAACCAATTTTTACTTGGTATTTAAGTTTATCTAATATAAGGTGTTTTTTTTTTCAAAAATAAAACCTTTTCAATTTCTTTACGTATCCTTTGAAGCTATTTTTACCTCCAAACATGAAGTTTCGCTTATCGAAGCTATATTCGTTAATCCAGGTACGAATGTACATACATTTAGAAATTGGAATTAAACCATTTGCAATTATGTTATTAATTATGCAATTAATTATAATACAAGTTAATAGCTTTTTATTAATTGCTAAGCAAGTTGAAACAAAATAAGTACCTATCACATACTACTGTTTTTCAAAAAAATGCATAAAAACCAAATTTTACAAGTAATTTATCAAGTCGCAAGTGCACCTCACGAATACGTATTAAGCTATAAAATAAAGAAAAACACTTCATTTATATTTAATTCAAATATTGATTCAAAACTTGTTGAGAAATAATAGCCTTCATTATAGAATACAAATTGAGTACGGAGAATATCCAATAACAGAGACGAGAGAAGTTTTCCATTTAATATAATCTGCGGTAACGACAATTATACCCTGTAACCAAATACTTTCCACGCCTTTGTTCTCTGTTGTTTTGTCTCTAATTCCCAGTGATTATTTGCAGTTTTCTGCAACAATGAAAGGGCTTATAGCTTTGTTGGCTATTTGTCTGTTGGGAAGACAGACGGAGGCTTGGGGCGGACTTTTCAATAGATTTTCGCCGGAAATGCTAGCCAACATGGGCTACGGAGGACACGGAGGCGGTGGAGGCGGCGGATTCGTAAGTATCGATCCTTTTACACTTAATACATTTATTGGACACAAAGCCTCAATTATTAAACGAAAAAAAACACAGTTAGTCATAGAGAAGCCATGAATTATGGAAAAGCAATTAGGAACATCGGTCAATTAATTCCATAAATATCACACAAAAAAATATGTTTCTATTTACGAATACCACAAAATAATATTGATTCAACCTTGATGAAAATATTAATTAATCATATGGTAACAATAACAATATTAGAATAAATAAGTGTCTTATATTGATTATATAAGGTATAATTATAGGTATAATTAAAAAATATAGAATATAAATTTAGTTTCTGAAAAAATAGGAAATTTCCCCAAATTATGTTATCACATATATATTAGCCACCTACCAAAATACAATCGATAACGCTCATTACTTAACTTTAATATATTGCCCAACAGAAAAACAAAAACTCAATGAACATCATCATTCCTACAACATTAACTAGTATTACGTATATTATAGATACATTTATACTTTATGTAAATAAATCAAGGAAAGTCTGTAACGCAATTTCGCAGATAGGAATCTGACTTTAAAAATACATTTTTTTTTAAACGTACATAATGATTATCTTTGCGTGTTAGCTGGCGATTAAAACATTATTAATATTAAAAGAATCAATTCCAAGAAACACTGGTTTACGCGAAAAGGAACAAAAATAAAATGTTGAAACCTTTTTTGCGCTCGAGTTTTAAAATATGCATCTGATAAATATGCAACGCAGTACAAAGAAAATTAATAGGACTACTAAATCAGACTGGTTTGTTCCGTCTTATTAATTGCTAGACCTTTGTTTCTTTGTTTTTGTAACAACCTTTTACAAAAACGGTACAACTTAATTAAAAAACTAATACAAGAACACCAGTAATAATGCAAAATAATTAACATTTAACAATTAACAATAACAATTAACGGTTTATGAAAATATTTGCTAATATTTTTAAATTAAGTCAAAAGCTAACCCTTAAATATCTCAATGTACAAATAATGGTGTTATACTTTTTAAAAACATTTAATTCTTGAAAAATGACTTTGATACTTGTATATTCCCGGCGCATCCACAAATTAATTAATGTAAACAATTTTTTTTAAATTGAAATTCAGTTTTTGTCAATAATATTATCTTTTAAATAGAATAGAAACTCGATTAGCCAGCACCTCCTATGGCGAGTATTTCGCTTATTGAACAAAATGAATTGTAAGAAAAATAACTCACTTAACGAGCAACATTTCACATAACGATTGACGATGAGCAGACAAGTCTCGTATTGCGCGCCTTCTACATCATTTTTGAAACTTGTGTAGATATATTATGTGTATTTTTGAATATATTAACCATCTTCGACTTTCTTTATCATCTATGTTTAAAGCGGACTATACTTTGCAAATATAATTTGTGTTTGCTGTAAATGCAAATACACACTATGTACGATTTTTTATATAAACAAATATTAAAAGTATAAAGAGACCTCTGGATCCAGTCTTGCGACCAAACCGAGCTGAGAATGCGCAAGCGCCTATAGTTCTATTTACTTTTAAAAACGCTGATTTGTTTACTTTTCACAATACCGATTTGTTTACTTTTGGGAACGGCGATGACTATTTTCGACGCCATTGTTTCAGAAACGTTTGTGATCTATGGTACAGTGTTCAATTTTTGTATTTTTGCAATTATTCTAGTTTGAAAGACGATATCTCAATGTAATAAATCATTTAGCAGTTATCCCAGTTTTATTCGCTATATCGCAATTTAATAAATGCATAACCTATATTTATTATAAATTATTTTTCTGTACAACAATAAATTACATTTCTTTTTGGTTTGTCTGTATTTATTTTGGTTTTATTTTAGAAATACATCTCAATAATTTATAGACGTATTTATTTCCTTATCCACTCTAGTGCTCTAGGTCCGAGAAAATGTTAGGTTAGGTGAAGTTGCCCTAAGGTTTTATGTTTAAAAATATATAGAAACAATTTTGTTATATGAATATTTTCATATCCAGTGGTCTAGGTCAAAGGGCGTTTAGGTTTTTTTTTTTAAATAACATAAAAACAATTTGGTGATATCGGTATTTTCATATCCAGTGGTTTAGGTTAAGTTTCTGTTAGAGGTTTTTTTTTAAATAACATAAAAACAATGTGGTGATATGGGTATTTTCATATCCACTCTAGTGCCATCTGTTTGAGAAATCTTAAAATATTTTGATTCGCCCCCTTCTTTTTCACATAAAAAAAACTGTTTTTGGTCGAAAGAACGTGTTCCTGGTGTTAGTGGTAATTCTGTTGCATCTCAGTTGCAAACTCGTTAAGCGAGGTTCCACTATATTTGGAATATAATAATATTCGATAAGTATGTTAACATATTTCAACAAGGATATTTTATAAATATTAATATAACATTACATGAAATATCTGTTCATATATCAATTAAATATTAGGCAATATAATATAATTCATATTATTAATTTAACGTATTACAATTACAATTCTTCAATAATTTATTTTTATATAAGATTAATGGATTAAGTCCACTTAAAAATGTATTATAAAAGAAAGAGCTGATCATTAAATATTTATAACCAAAACCACCTAACAAAGACAAATATTGTCACTGTTTAAATATACGCTTTTCCAATATGATAGTTATTCATTCAAAATTTTATGTTTACTTTACAAATTATGATAAATGTGACTATTAGTACAATTACAAAATTATTAGTTTTGCATTATATATGACTACGTACATTTATAACAGGTATATAAACAAGAGTTATATTTGACATAGATAGTAATTTATCGTTCACATTTGTAAATCATATGATAAATTGCCTACTGTTTAGCTTTCTAAATATTTGGTAAATTGATATATTATACAATAAATCAATAATCAATGGAAAACAAGAGATTAAAATTGTAATATAAATAGTTGTTAAAAACCTTATTTATTTGTATTCTAAACTAAAATTTTGTATAAAAAATTAAGAAAATAATTCTCGCTTCATAAAAACTATTTTTAAAATTTATTAGTAAAGTCTCGACGTACATGCACTTTAAAAGCTATAATATTAACCTTGTTTATTAGTAAAAGAGTTCAACCTTTACTGCACTGAATCATAAAACTCGTCGCAAAATAGAAGCTCTCAGCAATATCAATAATTTCTATATATAAAACTCTTTATTGATTCATTTTTTGGTAAGAATAACGTTCCAAAGTTCAACCTAATTACAAATCGATTTTCGCGTTGGAGATAAAAAGTTTTATGGCCAAATTTAATTTAGTCCGATAGGAAAATCGGGATAGTATCAATTAAAAAAAGTATATCATAATTTCCTACCTTTAATGATCAATTTAATGGCTTCAGCGTACCGGGGATGAGGGAATCCTGGAGGAGTTCGAGGTCGACAGCGATGATGATCCTTGCTACAGGAAGAGTTGCACCGCTAACGAGCATTGCTGTCCCGGACAAGTTTGCGTCGACGTTGATGGAGGTAAGAATCATAATTTAGAAAACATTTCCTCTACCTAAAATTCAATTAATTAATTATTTACTTGAGGAATTTCTGCCAAAAATTATAAGATAAATCGATTTTGGTCGCAAATGTTTCCTATAATGGGAAGGACTTAAAGGATTTGAGGATTTGGTCGTATCCTTTTCGAAGCGCGAAGTGTACGGTTTTGCGTTAAAATGTCAAGTAAACGAATTTGTGCCTTTTTACAGCCAATCGAGCTTGCAATTTCAGGAAAGGATCGGAGGCGACAAAAAAAGGAACATCCTGAATGAGTATTATCTGATAAATGAGAGGGTGTTATCTCTCCATGCATGGTCGATTTGTAAAAGAGGAAATTGCATTCGCAACGGAGCGAATAATTCGGCATTTCGATGAACTTGAAATAGTTTTTATTTTTAAAGAAATGTAACGAAACGATGAGCGTTGAAGTGCCGATTTTTTTGGGATTAAATGTGGTGATGTGTGAACGGAAATTGGCGCACGGATGATTCAATTAGGAAATGTAAAAATTGCGAAAGGTAAATCGTTATAGCTGAAAATGATTAAGATATCTAATATGTATTTTCTGATTTATATTATGCAATCAAATATTTACAAATTTACCAAATAATTCCATCAAACTCATAAAAATATATTAAATATACAGTTGCAAACATACATTTTAATTGGAAAGTAACGCGTATTTGAAATAATCTAACTATTTTAACCCTTTGCGAATGAGAGGCGACTCTCGGTCGCCACAACGTTTCTGCAAAAAAGTTGTATCATCATGGTCGCTCTAGCAAACATGGTCCAACGTTAGAAAATTATATTATAAATGTAAACTATATATTATATATGTAAAATCATTTAATTGCACCATGTAAGACATCAAAATCGTCTCGTCCTGGTACCTGACCCAGCTGTTGTCCGCAAAGGGTTAAACGATTTTTTCACAAACTATCTTTCAAACTAAGAAATCACTTACATGAAATTAATCACTTTATTCGATCCAAATTTTACCGGATCAAATGTGCCATTTAAATTAAAACATAAATCCATCAACACTATCCTACAGATTTTTAAATTTATATAATCCACTAAGAATAGTTATAGAATCATATTTCTTTTTACTGTCAAATATGACGTAACTATATTTGTATTGTCTATTGCAACCATTTTTACACTCTACACGTTGAGTCATCATAATATATATGAAGTATAAAAGCGAATTTATAAACCACACAGCATAATTTTTCCAAATACTTTTTTGTACATTTTTTTTTCAATTCGACGAACGAACACTTCCGACCCGCTCAAATTCATAAGTATTACTAAGGAAACCAAACATTCAAAATTTCACCCAATCAGCATAATGGATATTTATTCATTGTTTAATTATTTAAATAATTGCCAATTGTTTATAAAAAAAAAATACTAATATAACTGCTCAAAAATGTTATTAAACTAAAACTAAATTAGAGCCGCAATTATCAAATAAGAACATATTTATAAAAAATATACTTTAGTTTGTATTCATTTTTAATACCACAAGTTTCAAATGTCACCACTTGCAATTATAATACAATTCATGCATTACTACAGTAATTGTTAAGCAGATTTATATGCTAAAAGATGATGAAAATTTGTTATGTTTGCATATTAAGATCTGTCAATTATTTTTGTAGATGTCATTTATAATGGTTATGTAAGACTAAACTGAATTGACAATAGCAATCAACTGTAATTTCATATTGCCCTTCCATTTCTACCAACTTATATAAATGTATCACTATATTAATTTAATGATTTTTTTTTTGAAAACATTTTATTGAAAGACAACAATTCACTTTAAGTTAAAAGCTCTAAAGCAGTTATGTACTAATTTTAATATTTCTTAATGTAACTAATAAAGATTTAAATTCATAATAATAATACAACCATAATGTTGCAACCATAATATTACATAATTAATTACAAACAAAAATACATGAAGCAAAACTCACATGCATCATAGCTTAAAAAAGTAGACTATTTCCATTTTCCTTTTCAAATCTGAGTATAATTTAGCTTTATTATTAAAATAACTATTATTTATTTAAGTTGGTAATCATGACATAACAGCTGATTTTATATTTATTAATTGTTAAAGGTATCATAACACTTGAAATGTGGCAGGTTCGAATCTTGAAAAATAAATTTCAAACTATTTTAGGTACTCAAGTTTTTGTTTTAAATGTACATTGACACGTTAAGGACGGCGCAAATCGGTTTGTCAGCTGCGAGAAAATTTTTCGTGGACGCCTATGTATCTTGGGAATAGTAAAATATATTAAGTCAATTAGAAACTTTTCATATACATTTTTGAATATTTTTTTTAAACAATTTATAAGAATTGCGAGAAATGAGTCTAGCAATTTATTTTGTAAAGGATTCATAAATTATGTCACAATATCACGTATTATTTAAATTGCTTCAAGAATTATTAAAATTTGTATAAGAAATGTATTAGCGTTTAAGCTTTTTAATAGACGTAAGATATTTAAGGTTATACTCAGTCAAAATCAGTGGCGTGCATAGCGACAAAACTATTATACAATATTTATGACCCACCGGTGGGTCATGCCGTCGTCAACGATACGAAATAAATACCACCTTTCTACATTTATTAACAACGTTGTCATCAGCTTCCATTACTAACAAATACATAATATTGGTTCACATAATCATTTTTAGTATACCTACAATAGTCGTAGTAAACGACAGAAGTTTCACAAATCAATATGATTTTACAAGGAGTTATAAATCACTAATTTTCTTAAATACAAATTTTTATTTTTGTAAAGCTCATGAATTTTATTTAAAATTTAAAAAAAAAACAAAAATTAAATCATCAAAAATAATAAACATTTTGGCTTTTAAATTGATAATTAAAATATTTTTTTAAAATTTTGAGAAATTAATATAATTGTAAAAAATAGTCTTTTTAGGTTTTCAGCAAGAACACTTCTAACATTAATTCTTTCACACTTTTTGCTTCCAAAATGAAAAAATAATTAAAATAATGTTTTCAAAGAAATTTCTTAGAAATTTAGAAAGTAGTAATTAGTCTATATATCTAATCAAGTACAAATATATCTTGTATAGGCAACTTGCTGTCCTTCAATTAAATATTTATTATATAATTAAGTATGCATACAAGCACAATGTGAAAATTACATGCATCAGCATAAAATCAATACGGAACTGGTTATTTCGAGAGCAGCGGTATGAATGGAAACCATTGAATGCTAATAAAGCAATCAATGTGCAATAGGTAGAATCCGCCGTGCCACGAATAATTCATACAACTGACAAAGTTCAGCAAAAGTAATGAAACCGAGGTGACAATGGGATTGGGAAGTATCGGTTCATATTTTTCAACATTTTCATTCCGAACAGCTATTGATATTATGTAATTATGACTTGCGTTATAATAAATCGAAATCAATTTGAACTTTGCACGCTCCATAAACTTTAATTACGAAGCCAATGACTGGGTATGCGGTTTTCGGCATTAACCTTACGCCATTCGCATCCGATTCCAGGAAAGGAAAATGGAATCCTTGTGGGTTTTGAATGGTACAATTAATGGGGATTACAAGTGCATGAAGTTATCCTGAATTCTCTCTATTTCAACGAACGACCATTGCGTGGACGTACATTTCAATTTCATTTGCATATTGCATACACAAAGTACAATTAGAGATAGTTTCCGTCGCCCGTATTCAACATTTCGGTTAAATTACAACTAATCTCTTCTATTCATATTATTAATTTATAACAAACATCTTATAATAGATTTCGAAATAATCCAGAGCTTTCGTAAACAATTTAACATTTTAATATATTAGTACAGAGGAACCAGCACCTTGCATAACGAGCATTTCGCTTAACGAGCAAAATAAATTGTAAGAAAAATAACTCGCAAAATGGAACGCATTATCGTATATTACATTAGTTTATATCGGAAAAATTGTTTCACTATACGAGTAAAAATCCGGAAATTGTGGAATGGATTATGCTCGTTAAGCGAGGTTCCACTGCACTGATATAAATTAATTATAGGATTAAATAAATTTATATATTCATCAATAGAAATACATGTTGATAATTACTATAAATATTTCATTAATTTTATACAAATAACATTATTAGTTCTAGTCTCTTATTGTTCGGTTTATTTTTATAAAATCCTCGATTAATCCGGTTTCAATATATTTCTGTATAAACTAATTAATTAATTTAAAAAACAATGACAAACGCTTACAAACTTTGGAATCTGTCTTTTTACATAACTACGAGTTCAAAACTTAGACCAAATAAAATAAAATTAATGAAGCGAGAGTCCAAAATAATTAAATAATTATATAAGTTTTTCAGTTCAAATCTTAGACCAAATATATCTAATAATATGTAATATAAACAGGAGGTTTAATAAGCACTATTTGCTGTCAAAAATAGGACCGTAATCGTAATTATTCATATGATCTATAACACACCTTATTTACTTAAAATTTTCTAATAGCTTCTAGAGATATTTTGTAATAATTTTTCACTGAAATGACTTTAAAAACATAAAATATATTTTTAACAAATTTATTTTGCAAATAATAATTACTATTATACATAATACAATAAATATAATTTGTGCTGTTCCCAAATATTTTCTTCAAACTTGGGACATTTTATTTCTTTATTTAACTTATATATTATGATATTTAAAATATTTAACAACATACTGAATATCAACAGAATCATCAGATAGACGAAGGTAGAAATTGAAAAATCATCGAAAAAAAACTGGTTTTAATTCCGTATATCTTGACTTATAATAAATATTAATATATATTTCATGTTGTTTTATATAGATACAGCTATAGGTTTATGGAATGCAATTATTGAATTTTCTATCATATATTCACTAGTGGATAGAAAACTTCCACTAAATTTGGAATCCCACTCTTTATCATCAAAAAATAGTGATTAATAAAATATTTTTGATGATTAGCGATGGAATAATGGTTAATTCAGTCGTCAAAAATAAAGTTTTCGTTTATCTTAACATTGTTCCATTCGTATTAAAGCCGGGATTATAAAAATCAGCTAATTTCTCGGCATTTTATTCACGGGCAGGACTCAAAACATATACCAGGAATAGGCAAATACGTTTCTTAGAGTAACCAAAAGACGAAAAAAATAATACAATTTTACTATATTTATGAATGTCATCGTTTTATTAATGAAATCTGACATTTGATGTATAAACACGCAAATGGCCATAACATTGTATTATCATTTTGTAAATTGTGTAATGTAATGTAATTGCTAACCCAACAGTAATTTTATTAAAAGCCTTCCGTGGCATTTACAATCTTGTACAAACAGTTTTCCATCATCCCTTATCAATAAGGGCGGCGCCCGAGTCGCGCAATTCATCATGCACTTAGTGTAATAACTTCCAACCATAATAAATCGGTTTTAATAATAAGTCACGTACATTAAACGAACATTAGATTCGCAAACTTCCAGTCATAAATTACCGAGCAATTAAATGTGACTCGCTATTTAAAAAAATGACACATTATTATGTATAGAAGATTTATAATTTTATTTATTTTGTATATCAAATGAAAACAATTATTTTCATTAACACAACATAACATTTGTTACATTTAAAATTAATAAAGGTAATGAATTTATTTTAAAATTTATCTGAATATATTCTTAATGCATAATTAAATTAGATAAAATATTAACAAATGATCCACATTTCCACAAATTTCTAAAACAGACAAAAATATTTAATATCTCTCGTAACAATTTACCTTTAAAAAAAAACTTTTTATCCATAGACCAATGAATATAAAATAAAAAAAATTTAGGAAATATGTGTGTATTTAAATAACAATAAAAATGTCTGGATTTATATACAGAAATTGTACTGTTGTTATATACAAATGATATATTGTAAAAAAATTTAACAGTTTTTATAAATTCATTTCAAATATATTTCAGGCAAAATTTATGTCAAATAAAATAATTCTTAAACAATTATTTTTAATTTTTACGTAATTTTTTATATTTATACAATATATAAATATAGACTGCACAGGAGAGAACAGGCACATGCTGAAGATGAAGATTGATATATTTTTTAATAGGATGGGATGATGATTCCAAGAAATACAATCTTCGTTACGGGATATATGCACTTTCACTTGTATTCGAATTGATCACTATATAAAATAATAATAAAATAATGATCATTTTCAATATGAATTTTACTGAATATTAATAACTATTCACTGATTTTCTAGTTTTAATAATTTTAGAAACCAATTTTGTATGTATTAAACTGAAAATTTAAATCTAATTATATGTCTTTTTTCGTTTTAGTCGTTGGAACTTGCTTGTTTGCTTACGGAAGACGCGTAGGCGAACTCTGCCGCAGAGACAGTGACTGCGAGTCCGGATTAGTTTGCACCGAATCCGAGCAGACTTCCTCTTCCAGGATCTGCAGACCTCCTGTCCAGCAGGACAAGCAGTACTCCGAGCCTTGCAACATGTCCAGCGAATGCGACATATCCAGAGGACTTTGCTGCCAGCTCCAACGTCGTCACCGACAGGCCCCACGCAAGGTGAGCAAGCTTCACCTCTTAATTGGATCGAAACACGCTAGAGACGTGCTACAAATAGAATACAAAAGCAACAAAAAAGAACAAACTTATCGATTTCATAGATTCATGCAAACATTAATTGGAAGCAGAAAGATGGGCACGCTCCACAAACATTACGTCAATCACTTGAACAAATAACAAATGAAATATGACGTCAAATTGAAGTGTTTGTATCGTAGTCAACACCTGTTAGCACATCAATCAAACGGACGCAAATATTTGATATTAATTTACTAATTATTGTGCAGGCGATAAAGCGATTTTAATGTACATAACTGTGAATATAATTAACAATTTTAAAGCCTTTCTCTCAGTTCGGAATAACATTACAATTCACCGGCGACGCAAAGCCTGTCCCTATTTTTATTATTATTTACGTCCAAGGAATATTACAGAATACGGTAGGAAAGGTTAATTAAAGCAATTAGTTTTTTTATCTAAATAATTTCCTTTGGCTACATATGAAAATACACGCTTCCAAATAAATATTGGCTGGAAGCAAAATGGGTCACGACCCAAATACCGGATGAGTTGTTGTCTTCTTTTACGAGGCAGGTGCAGATGGGGATCTTCACATGAAATTGAGGGAAGATTTTGGGGCAATTACCGACGCAAAATCACTCTATTCGTGTGGCCCCATTTGGTAAAGGTCTAAATTGCCAACCAACAAAAAAAACGATGGCTACCAAACTGCATTTTCCTTTATTTCCTTCGTGTTTTTTTTTTCATTGTTGCTGTCTTTTATGTGAGTCGTCTTCTCGTTTTTTTGTAAATGAGTGAGATAGTGACGTAAAAACGTAGGGTGGAAAGTTATAGCGGTTTGAAATGGGGGAGAAAAGTTTGTGATAAAACGACCAGCTGGAAATGTATTCAATATAAAATGAGAGCAGCAAATAAAGAAAACCCTTTACTGCCTCGAGTTTTCATCCAGACGTATACTTTTATATCAACATTCAAAGCAGAAGATTAATAGTCTAGTTATTATGCAACAAATTTATTCACGTTTGTTGGAAATTTACTTGAGTAAATCGGATATTTAAGTTTTATATTAATCAATTTACAAAAACTATGTATTGATAAATTTTAAGCAATAATAAAATAAATTCTTAAAAAATAATACACATAATTATTTTTTATATATAAATCATCTTCTTTTTAATTGTACAGTCAAGTATTTTTGTTCTGTTTATATTTCAAGCGGTTTTAAAGACCTTCATTATGCGAGATATTAATGAAGAATGAAATACGGTAGAACCTGTTTTTGTGCGTTACTTTTTTATGTAATATTTCAATTGTAATATTTTCTATTAATGTACATATGTGAACCAATTCATAACAAGAAGATGCGCATTTTGGATTATCACGAGTTGCAGTGAATTATGTATGTGCATTTTGAAAATTTGTTCATATGTACAATGAGATATTAAATGTTTCCATTTGTAATTTAATTATTTATTTTGTTTGGATGCACTTTCTCATGTACTTTGTAAATTTTTTTACGTATTTTCTAAATGCAATTTTTTTATGCGGTGGAGAGGAACCGCAGAAGAGAAGTTTATCTGATGTATTGTACAATTATATTTGTTATATATAAGAGTTTATGAAAATTTCAAATATTTTTTTTGTGCGGTCTATCTACTTAATTTGTTTTTTTTTAAATGAAACACTAATCCCATTAATATCAGCAATTTTGTTGCCAACCCAATATTTCCTAAAATTATATAGTTATTAGTAATATTTTATTTATCGCATTTCAGAAAATAATATAAAATAAAAGAAAATTTTAATATTATCAATAATTATAAAACAATAAGACATAATAAAATGTAATTGAAAAAAAATAAGTAAATTATTTTAATAATATTCAAAATTTATCATTAAGAATTTAATTTATTATTAATTTAAATCCATCTTGTTATTATAAGGTAATTAGGTTATAAATTAATCGAGGTAATTGCCAATCATTTAATTAATTATTAAAAACTTAATTACGTATAATTCCAAAGATTAAAGGTCACTTTATTTTATTTTATTATAACTTAAAGAAAAGCGATAATAATGTTGATGTTCCATTTTATAAGCATAATAGACTCAATTAATTAATCAATGTAGTGATCAATTAAAATTTACAAAATAACTGTTTTTTTATATTCTCAAAACAATGCCTATTTTTACCAAACCCATTCAATTTTACCAAACTTATGCTAGCTACATAATGATACTCAAGCAATGCAAATTTTATAATTTGGACAATCGCAAGCGTAATATCTAAAATAGAACGTTGAATTATCTTAAATTGTACTAAGCTTCAATGTTTTCTTTACGTAAAACAATTATCTCTTTGAGGGGCCAGAAAATCCTAAATTTCTATACCCAACAAACTTTTAGACAACTTCCTCAACTGAATCAAGATCGGATGGTATGGATTAGAAAAATCCATCCATACCAACCAAATTAAATGATAATTCCTCTTTTCTCTACATGTTTTAGAAAATGATAATAATGCCGTACTAGGCTTATTCAAAAGATGGTACATTGCACCTCACAAAGAGTTAAATCCAACCTAATGTAAATCAAAATATAATTTATTTATCTTAACTAATTATTAGATAACCTAAACCAGAGGTTATCAAACTTGATACCGTTCATTTTACTATTACGTAATTATAATAGGAAAAGCAAAACATTTAAAAATAATTTAGCATAATTTAGAAAAATCGCCGTAGCTTGAATAATTGTAACATATTTGTGTTGTACGGCTAAGTACGTTATAAAAATTTGATAAGTCCGCCAAGTAGAGAATAGTCGATATCGACAACTGATCTTATAAAGCCTAGTAAAATTAAAGATTTAATACTAATGAAATGATACTAACATTTTATTTTATTTTCCAGGTTTGCTCTTACTTCAAGGATCCTTTGGTCTGCATAGGCCCAGTCGCTGCTGACCAGATCAAGAATGCCATCCAGCATACAGCTGGAGAGAAGAGACTCACCGGTCTCGCGGCTTTCAAAAGACCCATGCATTAAATTTATTCCTCTGTGTGTATCCTAATATCCAACAAAAAAATTCCCCTAAAACCTATAAATGTATAAAAAAAAGGAAATACCTTTGCATCTACCTAAATATAGAGAAGAGAATGTTAACGCCCCCTATTATTATCTTAAGACAGAAGGCATAAATTCTCTACGATTCACTTAAGCTTCAGTTTACGAGATTGAAATTTTCGACATAAATTCATTTCGAAACTTTTGGTTTCTGCAAATAAGAAGAGGTGATTTATTTATTTATTTTTATTAATTAATTGTGTAATGTATCAAAAACATATCAAGCAAATATTTAACGAGGCTGACTATTTTGATTAACTTTTATCTTTTTTTTTGGAATTGATGCCTTCGTAATATATTTTAAGGAGAGATGAGTACGTAGATGTTAGAAGTCTTTTAAATTATAAATGTGTATTTTGGAAAGGCGCGAAGGTATACTTCCAGCCGCAACGAATTTGCACCTGACTTCGAATCTTCCCTTATCCGGGATTTGAACAAATTGCTGCGATTGGAAGAACGTTCTTCTCGCTTCTAATCTCCCATTAATCTAATTAAAAAAACTATGGTATATTCATATACACATATATATATTATAAAAAAAAACTGAGGTATTAGCTGTACACGAAATATAAGAAAAGTCATTGGGCCTAGTCCTAACTAGTAGATCGATGTAATTGTAACTAAATGTGAACAAAACGTGAAATACATATCTTTAGGTTTAGGTTGCGCAACGCAAAAAGAATACTTATATTACAAGAAGAGTCTATATATATACATATTTATTGTGCTTCTTAGAAAGACGCACAAGAAAAAGAGGAAAAAAATACTTATCTTTCTAACTGTGATTGTTATGTTGATGATTTGAGGTGGGCCTATTTCCGGATACCTTTACTGAATCCTGCGCGCGCCTCGACTGGATTCCTATAAAATCCTGAGATTTAAAAGAAAACTAAAAACAGTTAGAATGCAGGAAAAGTACATTTAGAAAACAACTTTGAATGATTAATATATATTGACTATATTATATGACTAATTTAGTGACGAGAAGGCGCGCAACTGTCGGGTATCCGGAAAGCTGTTGTGTAATATCGAAAAAGGTTTTCGGTGCTTCGCGCGCAAACTTTCGTCTCATTTTTTATCGGATGAGATTGAGATTACATATCATGATATACATATCAAAGAAAATATCAGAGGAAACAAACCTATGAATATATATACTATTATAAAACTATTCTAGGGAGAAAAAAAAGCATACATATATTAAATATTATATTATATTGATGTTAACATACATATTTATCTGTGAATTATTATAAATGTCTCGAGCAAAATAAAAAGAACAAAAAAAAGTTTATTTTTGTTACTTTATTTCAATACCATTTTTTTCATTCCTTTCCATCATTAACCCTTTGCTGCCCAACTTATTTTTTTGTCAAAACTGTCCATTTGGTTGATAAATTAGGTTATAAATAATTATTGCTATAGATTTTTTCTATTATAAAAAGAAAAACTATTTAAGAAATCTTTCAGATATAATTAATATTTAGTTCGTAAATCTATGAAATCAAAGTGACAAACTTAACTGGGCGCAATTTCTACTGGTTTTCTTCAAGATACTGTGACCGGGCCCCTGTTTTTATAATTTGTTTACGCCGGATCTGCCAACATCGGATGAAGTAACTGTGGCTATCTTTGCCAAGTATTCCGCAGTCGTGGTATGACACCTTAATGCGGCAACAGCTTTAAAAATGCTTCAAACCAATTTGTACAGAATACATGGCTGGCTCAAGAAATGGAGTATTTGATCAATCGAAGCAAAATTACAGCCAACAAACATGCCCACTTTTAAGATTCAACAACTGTGTTTTGTCACAAGAAAATGAAGCCAGGCACTAAATCTCGATCGACTCAAGACCTAGAAAAAACATATCTGAAAAAAGAGGAAGTAAATAGGATTAAAAATTAACAAACTATATTGACTACTGAGTCTGCTATCATTAAACCCATACGGTATCCAAAATTTGGGGATATGATAGCAATTCGAACATCAACATCATCCAGCGATTCTAGACTAATACACTTAGAAAAACCATCATTGGCTAGAGATCCATCCAAACGTATTTGTCATAGAAGTAACTACTAAAGGATATCACCGTTGTAGATCTACGAAGGATCTACCCATTCTAAACCAACAAAAAACTATTTGTACGTGTGTGTGTGTTTACGTGTGAAACAATCCTTTAACACAACTTTTAAAATTACCACTACAACTTATATTCTCTTGAAAACAGATTGCTGTAACAATATAAACAAATAAATAAATATTGCAATAATTATATGATGGATTCCAGGACTTGTCTGTCCTTCGAAAGTGAACAGATTAAAAAAATGATGAGAACCATAAATTCCATTTCTAAAATCGGCAAAAATTCTATCTTATCTGGTGTTGATTAGTATGATTTCAATATAACACACTAACAACAATCAAAAAGTAATATAAATTTACTTATAATTGCTTTTTCAATTTTACTTTTAAATTTAATATCACCATAATCCATAGATTGAAAATTACATAATTATTTTTGTTTATTATCTTCTATAGTACGGTTTTGATTGATATAGTTTTACTAGTCAATAATTATTAAAAAAGGAAAATCCACATATAGAATTTCTATTTTATTTATCTTTAGTTGATTCATTATTAATATGAAAAAAGTTACGAATCGATTACAATGATTGATCTTAAAATTAAAACCTCAAAAATTTCAAATAAATAGTAGATTTTTTTAATTTTACATATAAAAATATATAATTTATTGAAATTAGTGTTGTTCCAATTATGAAATAACCAAATATATACAGTGGAACCACGCTTAACGAGCACCTCGCATAACGAGCAAAATAAATAGTACGAAAAATGATTCGCAAAATGGAACGCATTATAGTATATTACTTTAGTTTATATGGGGAAAATTGTTTTACTATACGAGTAAAAATCTAGAAATTTTGAATATTTATTTTAATATTGCAGAGAAATAACTCAATCGAATTTAATATAACATTCTTGGAAACTCGTTACTAAGTTACTGTTGAAAATGTGCGAAAACTATTCCGTGGAATATGTGGGTTGTATTACAGAAATCGTATTAAATGTACTTATATGCTTGTTTCCAGGAAGCATAAAATAAGAAAATAGAACCATTATAAACAAAGATTTAAGTCTGTTGTGAAATATATGTTTGTAGAATACAGCAATAAGGAAATGTAATTCAAATACCTTGCAACAGAGGGATGACATTGAATTTCCTGGTAGTACAAAACCAATTTGAAGGATAAAGAAAGTCTTTACATTATATTATTAATATTAATAAAATCACATTGATAAACATTTGTAAATAAGTAAATCATATTTTAAAATAATATTTCTAGCGAATTAGGTATGATTTTGAAATATTATATTTATTACCAATTTGTTGCATATTGATTCTATTAATAGTTTAAATAGTCTCATACGTGAGTCATTAGTATCTTTTATTATCTCTTCATGTTTTACAGACCAATTACGTATGCAGACATTCCGTAAAGTAGACTGGTATAATTACCTATGACATTTAAAGAAGATTCAAAGTGGATAGGAAAATTAATGCTGATCATGAAACTATTACTCTAATCGCCGCTGAAAAAGCCGACGTTAATTGAGACATTATATTAAAATAATTATTAACACGTTAAAATTAATAATTATTGATTTTTAAACACCTTTTTTTGCTGTAACCATGATAGCATATGGAACGATTCATGCATAATATGTTAACCTTTGTGTGGTGAAAAATACTCGATCAGTTTCTAAACGAGAAATAAACGTTGAAATAAATTACAATATGAAACATTTTATTGCATTCTATTTCGTAATTATCGTATACTTTCAATTGTGTCTGCAACGCAATATTTTTATGCAAACTATTTCAATACTATTCATTATTGAACGATTATATACAAATGGTGTAATTTAACCGTCGGTATTTCTAATTAAAGAAGAACGTTTGTATTAATATAATACACATTTTTTAAATAAGAAATATTTAATGGTCAATTTTTATCAAACAAATATGAAAGTTGCAAAACCAGTTAATTATTAATAGGAAAAATATTATATAATACTAATTGCATACAAATAAACTAAACAAAAAATGTATGTATAAAAAATAATTATGTATACTATTTTTTTAGAATTTATTTTTATTTTGTTTATTATATTTAGTTTCATTCTGAAATTTTCAAAACCGGATTGTAGAGAATCCGGATTGATAAAAACATCACAATGCGAAATATTACTGTATTTTTAATTATATTGCTACATATAATTTGTTTGCAATATTATATAAAAAATGGAGTTTATATAAATTATGTAAACAGTGACCCGACAGAAGCGCGCAGTGACAAAGCTATCAAGAACAAAAGCGCGCATTAAAACCACGTCAAATTACGACCATTAAAGATAAATTTGAAATTGAATTGGCCACGTCAAATCCACGCACGACATTTAGTGCAGTATTTCCCATCGTTATGCCACGTTCCATAGGAAGGGAATTTTATTGTTAAGGGGAACAATTCGAAAATGGGCAGGTTTGGCGTATTATGTATATATTACATAAGGGGCATAAGAATTTTAGAAAAGCTTTGGTGGGGCATCGCTGGGAACCACTGCTCTAGTGCCTGAGGTTCAGGGAGTTTGGTTTTGGATGTATTTTAAAATACATATCTTAAGTTACTAACAGCTGGGTAGGATTTATATTTTAAAAATACATACAAATTCTCGTACATTTGATTTGGTTTTTTTACTGTGTGCTTTTGTCATTTGCGCTTTTGTCCGTTACGGTGCCCTGTAAAATACAATTATTTCGATTTTGTGTGGAGTAATTGAGAAGTTAGGACATGCAAATGAAAATTTGTTTACTTTATCGAAAAGCTTTATATCTTAATTTTAAATTTATTTATTAATATTAACCTAAAATTTTATATTTTTATATTAAATACCTTTCACTGTTGAATGTGAGGAAAGATACATAAAATCTTTTCTCTCACTCAATAGTAACCAGGTGTCTTTTAATAATCGATTTCAATGTTGTTATACAAGGTAATTAAATTTGAATACAATAAAAAACAATATGTTCTTCATTTTAGACAAAAATCTTTGTAAAAGATGTTGTTTTCTTTATTATGTAAATTAAAAAAATTCATAGTTGAGTGAGATATTCATATACTCTTGTTTCAAAAAAAATGTACATTGATGGTTGATAAATTTATAATTTTAACATTAATTAAATTTGGAAGAATTTCTTCTGGAATTTACTTCACTCAAGTTTAAATATCTTGTATTTATATATATAAGAATTACAGTTGTATAGGGTATGGTATGGTATGGAGACTTCTATAGGCTTTCGCAACTTTCAGCCTTCAGGTATTAGTTTTTTTTTACAAAAAGAGAAACAAAAATGACTAAAGCAAACACAAAAACATATGATACAATGATTTACTTCACTCAGATATTTTTAAAATTTTAAGTAGATATGAGTAAAATTTGAAGGTAAAATGTGATGTAATGCTTTTTTGTAATAGGATGATTAAATATTGATCAGTTAGGGTAGATTATTGGAATATTTCATGCATTTTAATTGTTGATTTTGGTAATTGTATGAATATGAGGTACAATGATAAATTGTGTACTGATAAGTTTTGTATTGCGTTAGTAAAAGGTTTTTTATTTTTGATTTTATTAGATAAGTTTTTGGGTACAATTTATTTTTTTGTTAGCAGCCGCTACTGAATATACTAGTTTTAATAAAATTCAGTTCAAAGATGAAATGTGAATTGAAGAGGTGAAATGGAATGTGGTAGAAATAATGAAAGAATTTCATTGATGCTTTGATTTATAAAATGTGTTTCATTTTATTACTTGTTTTGTTCAGAAAATTAATTTACAAAGTGTGTACAGCGTATTTATACATATATATATAGAAATATTATTTTATATACAGCAAGTCACAGTTCGCACTGACTACAAAACAACGATGTTTGTCAGCTGGTAATCTGGCATTCTTTAGTGGCAGAAAGGATAGTTGGGGCAGGAATGGGGGTCGACGCCGGCTGGGACACCACCAGCAGCTCCTCCATGGGCGTATCCACCAGCATATCCTCCAGCACCAGCGCCTGCGTATCCTAAATCACAAGAAAAATATTGTTATTGAATTGTTCATGATGAAAACAATGGTTTGATTAGCTTACCGCCGGCGGCTCCAGATTCGGCGAGTCCTTCTCCGTGGTAATCTCCGTCACCGGTGTAATCACCGTTGTCCAAAGCATTTCCGTTCCATCCTCCGCCGTTTCCGTTCCATTGTCCGTTGTCTCCACCGTTCCATGCACCGCCATCATGTCCTCCGTTCCATGCACCGCCATCATGTCCACCGTCCCATCCGCCTCCAGCACCGGCACCATTCCAGGCTCCACCGGCTCCAGCGCCGTTCCAGGCACCACCGGCTCCAGCGCCATTCCAAGCACCGGCACCTCCGTTCCAAGCTCCACCATGAGCGGCGGCTCCTGGGTTGGCGGCTACAGCTGGGTTAGAGCAGTGAGGGTAGTTGGGGCAGGCCTGTGGGCTGACACCAGCAGGGTACAAGGCAGCTGGAGAACCACCAGCCAACGGTCCATGCCAGGCCCCGCCGAGAGCTACTGCCATACAGCTAGCTAATACTGCCTATATTCACAATAATGAGAAAGGGTGGTTAAAATAAAATCCAATTTGACTCGATTGTACTTCCTTACCAGTTTTACAAACATGTTGTTGTTGATTTGCTGTACGGATACACAGTGACAACAGGATCAAAATTACAACTATATATACGGACTAAACCACACCCTAAGTCACCCGTTGGACAGAAACCGTAGCATATTTTTTTACTATTAGCAGTACCGAGCCCACATGGTGGAAGGAAATAAAATATGGAAGTCGGGCACGTAAGAATCGCGCGAATTTTCTCCCCCATCACCGCACAATACTTTGTTCCGTGTCACATGCAGCCAAGGTTTTCTTCACTTCATTGCCATGGCAAAAATATTCACTACGTTCTGCAGAGCGAAAAAAATCCGCGTTCGTATCTGATACAAGAATATGGTGTATAAATTATATTTGAAAAAAAAAATAATGCACACTCACACAAACACTTACATACACCCATTAATATACACACTAATACGTACAGATAGACAGAGAGAAGAAAAAGAAAAGGAGACTTGAAATACCTATCATAGGTGAGGCTTTTCTTTCCCTCTTCCCAGCCATTATTAAGATTGTGACCTTATTACTTCCAACAAAGCATTTTTTCAAGTACACGCATACTTGAATGATACGCTTTTCATTTGAACGCACAAAAACCTCCAGTAAGTACCATCATCGAAACGCTTTTCCGTTTTCATATTCCTCCGAGTCTTCAAATCATTACACGTTACACCCACTAAACAATACCGATCATATCACGCTCACTCATCGACTCAGCACTAAACACTTGCAATTAATTAAACAAAAAATAATAATTAATTTTATATTGCAATCAATAACAAACATATATTTATTTATTTTGATATTTTAGAACATTTTAGAATTATCCATACGTTCTGAATAGTCCTTGGATTATATTACAAACGATATATTTAAAATGAATAAAAAATGTACTAAGTATAGTTAAAATTATTGAGAAACTAATAACTGGAATAATATAACATTTTCATATTAAGAAAACGTATCATTAAAAATAACTATTTTTTTCTAATTCTAATTAATCTTAATGATTTAATGTTGATAGCACAATAACGAATTGTAACTTAATTAATAATTATTTAAATCATGAAACAGTTTACTAATAATTTCTAATATTGTTAGTCACAATAAATCACTCAATAAGAAATGATTTATTAGAAATTGTCCTTATTTATTAGGCCATAATTAAATTATAATATGCCAATTAGTAACACATGAAAACAATGAACAATTAATTTATTAATTTTACTAACAGAAATGATTGAAACTTGAGAAATCAACAAACTACAATAAATAAATTATCATAAAATAACAAAGCAATAACTGTTAAAAGAAACTATAAATATTAATTATCTATTAACCCATTGAGTCCTAGTCGTAGACTTTTTAATGAATTATATTGTTATAAGTCCTAAAGGTATTTTACTGAAACCACACTCTTATATAAATTTCCATAAAAAAATAATTTTAACAACTTTGAAAAAACTTAAAATTGCTTAAACTTAAAATAAAATTGCATGAAATAATGGTCTGAACTCAATATAACGAACAATATTTAATAGTTATAATTTCAACCCTATTGGTATTTGTACTTGGAAAGTATAACTAAATAGTAAATAACATTAAAAAGTTTGAAAAAAGTACTTTCTATAATATATAATTAATTGAAGAAAATAGATACGCTAAAAATAATCTAAATCATAATAAATTTAAAAAATATAAACGTAAAAATAACAATGTAAGTTTATTTCCGCCTAAACTACCAAAATGATCTCGCGGTTTCCTAAGTCATGTGATTCCAGTTCGAATTTCTTCAAGTAAATGCGTTTTATATTATTTATCATTTACTATTTACAATTTCAAAAATAAATTGTAGTTCAATGTTAAATTGTTTCTTAGAAAATATCAAAAATAGAAGTTATTTTTTTCATAATACATATGTATATTTAACTGTACGTGAACGACATTCTGCGCCAATAAAGTATGTATGTAAATCATGTAAATTCATTGTTTCTCATTATAATAAATTAAATATACGTAAAATATCTAAATGGGTTATTAAATAAGATGTTGTCAGCAAAACAATAGATGTACCTATTATACAATTATTCTCAAGTCTTAAATGCAATTTACCAAAAAAAAAAATATATTTCATACTATTAAAAACAAATGTATGTGCACTAGATTTGGAAGGTCGTAAATGTATTTTTTTTTATTAATAACGGAATCCTTTCTAAACAATTGACATTTTATTTGTCCTTTGTGGTCTATACATTATTTTTATTACTCAAAAAAATATATAATAAGACAAAACATCAAATTGCTCATAAAAATATTCAAATAACAAAAATTCCTTTGCGCAATTTATTATTATTACGTTGCACCATTGCGCTACGTATACTTGCAATTATAAAAAGGAACTCCGAGCTCTCAGGATGATCTAATTTATATAGATATACGCTTTGGAAATTATGCATTCGAAGAATTTTATTCACATTTTTGTTTGTTTTGTTTTCGTATCCCTCGGGCGCACCTTCCGCAATCCTTCGGTTTCGTTGAGCTTTGTAGGTGTAGACATTCCAGAATTTCAAAGAAATACCAACTAGAAACAGACGAGAGAAAAAAAAAGTTTATTATCACATGCTAATCACGAAACAGAATTAATACAATTAATGCGGCGCTGGTTTGCATATCAATCATAATAATATAGGGAATATTTCACTATATAAAGTTCATTAGAAAGTTATGCATTTTTTGGTTTATATACATATTCATCAATGATATTTCCTTAGTTGGTTATACTTATTATGTGAATTATTTATTAAACGCTTTAATTAATTAATGATTTGTTGATAAGAATAAAACAATCTGGAAAGTTTTCCATCAGACCATAGCAAATTATGAATATGAATGTTATATCGCTTAAATTGAGGCAATTTTTATAAAGATAAATTATATTTGTCTTTTATATTAGTTACCATGAAACAATTAATTAAAATATGAAAGGAGTAAGAAATAAAGTTAATCTTTCAATTAGGAGTTTATAAATACTTTTTTTTGTCGTATAATTTTATTCACAATTTGTTCATCAATGTGAACATTGAATACATTTAAGATCGCGGTTGACATTAGGTAGGTAATCTTTCCCGGTGGATAGTTAAAATTATGATGATTTTGATTTTAATTTGTTGGTTGGCTGTCATCGTGTAGGTTAACTTCAGTAGTATATTGATGCTCTACGATTCCACTATTTCCTTTGACTGTGAATCTGCTGCTGTCCTTAACACTGTCATTGTCCATCGACTTGGCTGAAGGTCCATATACTGAAACTCATTCATTTGACCATATGTGATGAACGATGGCCCTATTGCGGTAAGCACCGAAAGGGCTTACAAAGGGTCTGACTTGACCAGGATTCGAACAGGCGCTCACTGAATCGTGAGCAGGGCGACTTAACCATACCGCTATTAGTCGCCCTGTCAATTTTTTTAATGAAAAATAAGCGGTATTAATAAATTTATTGTAAGGAGTAAACATTTAAGTTAATCTGTAAATTAGTAAATTAATTACCACAATTTTTATAAGGAATTCATTTTATATTAGTTGTTATACAATAATGAAAGCAGTAAAAATATCAAGTCAATCAGGCTATTAAAAAATGATAAATATTAATGAAAAAAATAATTGCAGTTATTATGCAATAATTAATCAATTATGAAAGAAATAATAAAAATAAATTAATCTTTCCTTTTAACCCCATTTATAATATAAAAACATTGTTATTTTCATTTATAAAATTATAAATATGAACGATTTAAATACTTGATTTCAATAATTTTCATATGGAACAATAAACAATATTTATTACGTGTCTTATTATTAAAATAGTAAAATAATCAAAGATTAAATCAATTCACATAGGAAGAAATAAAGAAGGTTTGTGTTTGATTGGTTTCATATTATTTGATGTGTGTTAATTAATAAATGATTAATGAAGGAAACCAATAATTTAAGCTTTTAATTAATAAATTGTCAAGGTTAATACTATAATCATAAGGAAATATAAACAATATTTGTCTTTGAATTGATTTTACATGCAAATATGAACAATGGAATAATAAAAAATTGTATGAATAACTAGATACATCAGTAGGAGAATGAATCTCACGATAATAGTTGTAAGTTGAACGTGACCGAGTGAAGATGAATCCTATTCATCTGTATAGAATATTCGAGTTTACGACTTAGTTACTTTTTTTATAGTTAAAATATAAAATTCAATATAATTTACGTTAAAAAATATTATTGATTATAATTGAATTACAAATATTTTTTTATTTATATTTTATTTTTATTAATTATTTATTAAATCATAATTACAATTCTTATTGTAATTATTTAAGATCTGTGAGTTTGTACAGGAAATAACTTTAATGGAAATTGAAATATCTACAAAGTGGTGCATAAATCGCGTCCAGTTACATTAATAATATGCTTTATGCAAATACAGTGTAAATATTTATGACTTGAACAATCTCCAAACAATGACAACATAAAGTAACCGATTTTTGCATGATCCCATTCAATAACGGCCTTAATTGTAACGGTTGGGTGGACCACTCTGTCTATATTATTTTTGTTTTATTTTATTTCTTTTCATCGTTCAATGTAATTAAGATCATATGGAAATTTTGTCGTGACGTGAAAACAAATAGGAAAGTGCGAGGAATAATTAGTGAATGTCGCAGTGAGGTGCATTGTGGGAGACGTGATTGTTCTCAAAATCGATCTCTCCGGGACACCGCATTTCCTTTTTTTGTTGATGTTGTTTCTGTTTTGTTTTCTCTTTTTCGTATCCTTCTTGTGTTTGCTGGGTGGACTTAATTTTATCCTTGAATGCTGCAGCCGATGCGAAAAAGGAGAATGGACTGAACTCGATGGAAACGATCTTGAGTAACACCCATCAAAACGCCTTACGAATAGAGGCATTATGTGCATGCATTGCGGATCGAAGAAAACATGCTACGAAACGTCAACGTGACGTACGCAAATAGTATATGACGTCAGATAGAAATATGTATAGTGATTGATGATGGAATGGGATGTTCAATTATGCAAGGTATTTTTAGATTGTATTTTATATATGTATAGTATATATTTCTTACTATTAGTTTATTTATTTCCTTTCTGGTTTGGTCTGATATTTTATTTAAACTATAAAAAAACTAATTACAATGGAACCTCGCGTAACGAGTTTAATCCAAAATTTCCGGAATTTTACTCGTATAGCGAAATATGCATTTGTACACAAGTTTTTAAAATGATGTATCATGCGTGCAATCAGAGACTTCTCTTTTCTTACAATTCATTTTGCTCGTTAAGCGAATTGCAAGAATTCGTTATGCGAGGTGCTCGTTAAGCGAGGTTCCACTGTATTCTTTTCCATTGGAACAAGAAGCAGTAGCGTACAAATTAATTAATTTTTAATAATTTGAAGTATCCATAGATTTTTATATATAAATATTTTTATAGTTAATTATCCAAAAACAGAAATATTCTTTTTTTCGATAAAGATATATGAAAAAAAAGTGGAATTTATAAGAAAATCATTCAAACCTACAAAAAAATGCTTATAATATATCTGTACAAAGAATTTTGAAAAAAAAAAAATAATAATTAGAAAAAACGCACATATTAATAAATTTATTTCTGTATTTGTGTCTTTTTAGAGGAAATTGTTTTCATTTGGATTTATTTTTATGTATTCAATGTTATGGAAAATAGTTTCTTTGTTTTGTATATTTTATATTATCAATAAATATATTAGTAAATATATTGAGTTTAAGAGTTCTATAAAAATCAATAAGTGCACAAAAACATAATAAATTAAATTAAGATGTATGTCTTCTTTTTTTTAGATAAAGATTTATGAAAAGAGTAGAAATTATAAGCAAATCATTCAAATCTGTGAACATTGCAATATGTGCACTTATATTCCTAAACACGTATACTACAAAAAAATAAGGATATTACATGAAATAATTTTGAAACTAAATTTTATAATTTAGACTTTATATAACAAAACTTTCTAAGTCAAGAAGTAAACTCTATTAAATATTTCTGTATAATTACTAAACATAGAGTATCATTTTATTTCATGCTTAATCACAACTATATAAGACTTTTAAGTATAATAAAATAATATTTCATATAAAACTATTTTTTGTTAGGAAGATTATTTTTGATATATTAATTTAAAAATATTTATAAAAATTAATTTTATAATGAAAGGAAAAACGATCTTATATGCAAAAATAATTTTGTATCTTAATAATTTACATTTTTTTTATTTTGCTCAATTAAACTTTATTTAGTTTGTAAATATTCTAACCAGATTGATCGAAAACGCACTATGCGAAGTACAGTAGATTCCGCTTAATTAGGACACGGGTCAATTAGAAACAAATCCTAAAGAAAGTTATTTAATTAATTTTCTTTCAAATTAATTAAATAACATAAATCTACTTTGCATTTTCAACAGAAATTTCGTTTAATCGGGACAGTAATCGTGTGGATGTTCTATATGGCATGTGACTGTATTTTTTGTGGAACTTCTGATAATTGAGTCAGCCGCTTAATCGTGCCAAAATATACCAGTCTCGATGTGTCCTCACTAAAGTATCTCTTTAAATAATTATGTCCGATATCTATTGAACTAATACATTTTTTTCAATAATTTAATTTGAAAATATGAAAGTAATTTTCAAATATTCTCCATTATGTTCAAATTTAATTGATATATGTAAATAAATTTATATAAGTAGAAGCTTAATCAACAAAGTTTGTATCATGTAGATTAATTGATGTATTTTATTGTTGAATATCATTTTATGACAGCAATAACTAATAAACACTGTTATTATTATCAATCGAAATCCACTTAACACTCCTTGCTGTTAACATGTCGTTTATTGTTTGATCGGCTTCTGAAAGAAGAACAAGACCGTGTATAACCACTTGTTACGCCTATTTGCTCTAGTTCTCAATAACATATTCTCTACTTCAAAACGGAATCTGAGCCAAATTTTAAATTGACACACATCTGTTCATACGTATATAAAGCATTTACAAATTGCAATAGATTTATCACTAGGGCAGGACATGGTCGGAACCATACCAGAAAAATTGCTTTATCTTTATATCTATATTTATTACAGATGTTAAATTAATAAATGTAATAGAGTTATTTATAAATATTGGCACTTTAGCCAATTAAAAAAAAATGTATATCACAATAACATAAATAAGTTTTTTTATTTACAAACTATTCCTGTAAATTAAGTAAATCTTATGGCGGTTGACATTTATTTTAGTTTTTTTGGTAAACTGGAAGGTTTTATCATTATTTTCTTTTTTTTTTCTAATTTATTGGTTGATAATAGAAGGGACTGTATGTTTTCTATGATTTTCTACACATACCCATTCTTGTCGGGGTCCAATAAATATTTTAAGTGCAAAAAGTTTGAGACACAGGTGTAGGTTAACATTCATTAGTATAATGCTGCGCTGCGATTTCCACTAGTCCTTTTGGCTGATATTCTTAACACTGCCATTGGTGAAGATCATGTAACTTTCAATTTATGATGAAAAACAACCCTATTGCTTAACATCGATGAAGTTCACAAGTGGCCTGACAAGGCTAGATTTGAGCCAGTGTTAATAATTCGTGAGAGGCAACTCTAACCATTCGCCTATCCGTCGTCCACTATTCTTATTTTGTAAATAAAATTTATTTTTTTATTAAATGTTCATACCTGATCGTGAATTCGGATTGATCGAAGCCGCACTATTCGAGGAATTACCAGGGTCTATCGTATTGATTAGTGAATACGATAGCACCAAAAAACAAAGTTTCCAAAAAGTTAAGCAACACTCATTGATAAACAAGAGCTGATTCAGTAGTTTGCAAAGATTTTATTAAAAAACCTGTCACAGAAGTTGAAGTTATTGAATGAATTAAACTCACTGGAAACTGCTCTTATGGTAGAATTTGGAGCGAAATGTTAGAAATAATAGATGAAACTAATATTGAAAGCATTATTAGATTAAACGGTTCTTTAAAAATTACTTTTTACAGTCAAAACGAAATACAGAATCATTTTGCTTTTACAAATCAAACTGTATAAAATTGTCGAATGAGACGAGTACAAACTATTACGCACAAGAAAAAAGTATAAATATTATGTTATTATTGATGAACTTCTATTGGAATTACAAAAAGGAATGTGTGCATTTATTTTATATTTGGCTATAAATTTTATTTTTTGTTAATATAGTTTGTTTTTGTTCATATAATGTAGATTTTTTATGAATTTTATATATTTATTAATAATTATTGGTAATACTTTTTCTAGTTCTGTATTTTTTGTAATACTTCAACAGTCATACTTCTCCCGATATTCCTTTCCTATATTTTCTTATGAAAAGTGGCGCATTATAGCCATTGTTTAGATAACCATGGGTATTTCTTTATAGTAAATTCGGATCGATCGAAGCTAGATTAAGCGAGTTATTGTTGAATTCTAATAATATGTACTCCTATTATTTGCATTTACTTGAAGTAAATTAAGTAATATGTGTGTACTTCTAATATAAAGATTTATATGAACTAAAATGATGTCGTCTGAGAGTTTTCAGAATAATATCAAAAAGTATAAAGGTATATAAGAAAAGTAATAATGTTCCATGAATAACTTTTATCGTAAAAAAAAATGTAAATTGTTGTATTAATTTAATATAATAAATATAAAAATGTCCGTGTAATGTTCCCGATTTTACGGGATTTGTTTCTATTTTGTGTTAGATGTAATGGTGTCCCCCAAATGTATTTTGAATATAAAGAAATGAAAGAGAAACATAATGTAATGAAGAATCCAAGTAATGTACCAATTTTTAATTGAGCATACTAGTGTACTGTGTACGAAATTTTATATTAATTTAGAGTTTGCTTTATCTCTATTAGTTTCCTGTTAAAAAATATTTGTATTAAAATCCATTTTTTTTTGATTATATGAATATAATTTAGTCTAATCTATCTATTATAGTATATAGATAGATTAGACGTGATAATAGTATACATTATTTCACATATAATGTTAATGCATGTTTAAAATGAATCACTTAAGTTTTTTGAATAGAAAGTTACACTCAATAATTTATAGAAGTTAACAAATATAACGTTATTTAAAATGTAAAAAAAATAATATTTTAAAATTTTAAACTGGTTCTATATTAATATTTAACCATTAGATTACTTATATGAAATTATACTCAGTTATAATAAATAAATCTGGACTGATCTTATAATGTTTCGAGTACAATTTCAATATTCACACTTTGATCAACGTTTCACTGGTATATATAGTAATACAGACACTTTCGATATCCTTCGATGAACTTCAAAATCCTGCCGTTCAAATCTTTTATAAAAACATATTGAATGGAATTTACTATCATGTCATAGCTTTCTTTTAAAGTTATGAGCTAAATACATATTATATATTTAATTATCATAATAAAAAATAATATCAATTTTATAATATATAGAGAAATAATTGATGTAAATAATTACATTTTTTAGTTGATGTTTTTTATTTGCATCATTTTTTTTAATATTGCTTCTGTATTAACAAAAGTAACATTTTGATATGTTTAATAATTGATTTATTTCATTTATTTAGTTTCTTTAGTTGCAATAATAGTTTATATAATAAGCTGTTGTCAATTTAAATTTGAAAATGTTATATTTTTAGTATTATTAATTATGAATATTTACTTTATTAGTTACTTTAATTCTCTAATTCAGTAATACTATATAGTTTGAATATTTCAAATCAAACCAAATATTAATTGAACAAACTATAAATTAATTATAAAACAAAAGGTACACAAAATGATTTTTTCTCATCTTGTATAAAAGTCTCCAGTCTCTTATTGTGCCTTTTTTTTATGCGGTTTAAAAATCCTGTTTCAAACAATCCACATATTGACAAACCTATGCGAATTATTTCGGTATTATTAAGAAAAAATACATATAATTTCTATATGTTAAGTTTCAATGCATTATTTTCTGCTAAATATTGCATAATATTTATTTTTGAGAACTAACATTTATGCTCATTAAATAATAAATTCAATTATTAACATTTTTAAAAATTATTTTTCTTAAATAATTACAAAATATCGACCAGAAAAATTCTGCCAATTATAATACTAATTAATTGAGCATAATTGAAAACTATAATTTAAGTACGATGAATAGTTCAGTTTATAAGTTCGATCTTGACGTACGTGCAGGAAAAGAAAGCACCGTACTTGAATGTCCTTCGCATATAAATAGAAACGCGTAATTTCCTTTTCAAATTCACGAAATAACTCGCATTGCAAATTAAATATTTCAAATTGTTTTTGATGCGTACTAACTCACTGATGTAAAAATCTATTGATTTTAGTATGATCTATGTGCGCTATGTTATGCAGGAATTAATGTATAATAATAGTAATCTAAATACATGAATATGAAGGATAATTGGGGTGTGTATATACGTAAAGGAGTGCAATAGAAAAAACAAGGAACATTATGATGAATTATGCATTCATCAGACAGACGGTCGGGAAATGAACTTTAGCAATGCGAAACGTTTTTGTGTTGGAGTAGAGCAGAGAAAGAGAGCATGTACCGAGTACATGTGATTTTGCAATAATGTTATGAATTACATTTTGTCGCATTAAAATATACACACACACATAATTGAAATATCAAGGTTAAAGAGACCATGGCTTACTTTAATTGCAACAGGCTACAAAATATAAATAGCAGAATTTTGCTCAGTTGTTAATAATTGCATTAGAAATTACCGCATTTTTCGACTCATTACTTCCTCTCTGCCATTATATTCAGCGATAATTAAGGAATAATGCTGCATTCTCATTCTTCAATTGTTCTTCATTTTAATAGTAGTTTCAAGGATTCGTTAAATTCAGGAACTATATTGTTTTTTTTTTTTAGATTTCGTTGCTTCAGTATTTCCATTCTACAATTAAGTAGGAGTTTCAAGGATGCATTAAGGATCCATTTTCGACAAAAATGTTACTTCCTTTCTCTTATTTTTTTCTTTTTTATACAGGATTCAAGGATGCACTGAATTCAGGAATAATAAATATAGTTTTTAATGTGGATAGTTTGCAATGTCGAAATAATTGCAATTATAGTTTATTCCTAATGTTGAGTAATTACAGCGCCGCGTGCTGTAGCCGGATGAATGCACTTCTTTCACTTCTCCAGACCACATTTCAAAGTTAAGCCAATCAATAGACTCTGAAATTATTTACTTCAATTATCAAAGATCCTACAGTCATACCTCAGTTAACGTTTCCTCGCATAAGGATGCTTCGATATAACGAATTCCGCAATTTCAAGCTAAATATACATCATTTGTGGTAGACGAAGAAAATAACATCATATAAATTATAAATTAAGTTATATAGGTGTCTCAATCAACAGGATTCAAAAACGTTGTTGAAGACGATATTCGTTGATAGACGATTTATTAAATGATGAAGATATCATCATTTTAGTTGAACGTTTAGAAAACAATGATAATAAAAGATATTCCTACTGAAATTATGATTTAAAATGATGCATAAATTATATTAAAACGTTTTATTTTTTTAGTGTTAATGGATGAAGAAGTTTTATTTTTAAAGCATCCGCGTTAATCTAATAACTACCTGTACGGATTGTTAAATTCAAGTTCAATTCAACTTTGACTCATATTTAAAAATATGATGTTACTTTATATCTATGTACACTGTTTATCTAAGAAAACTTTTGTTTCGATAAAAAAAAACTAAATTTGTTTTGTATTTTTACCTCTTAAAACTTTCACTTAACGAAGAAATTTTATTGAACGATTACTATTTGTATGGCTGTGCTTAAAAATTCTATGTGATTAATATATTATTAGTGGATTATTTACAAAATATTAAATTATATAAAAATTATAAGTTTATATATTTTTTTTTCTTTTAAAATTCTATTACATTACTATAAAGAAAACTTTAATCTTAATATACTTAATAATTAATTTTAAACTCTTTAATTATCCTTGAAAGTAAACGTTATTTAAGTGACCAAATTTCAATTTAATCTAATCAATAGGCTTTAAACTATTATTTAATTAATCTTAATAATATTTAAAATTGATTTCTATTTTTTTATATTATTTGATTAAATCAAATTGGAACAACATTCCGACGAAGGAAACTTTTTATATTGTTTCAAGGATTTGATACATCGGCTCTACTCATTTCTATTCATGATTATATGGTAAGCTATAATTTATTTATTAGCATTTCAATATATTAAAACGCAGTTATTATGGAAAATAATAGTTTAGTAATTATCGCAGAAAACCACTAACGACATCTGCTGTCAATGTCTTGGTTTAATTTGTTATTGTAAGTATTTTATATGCAATTATTTACAATATAATAATTTACCAAAGAATCAATATTTGAATAACAAAAAAAAAGAATTGACTGATTCTCATAATTTTTTTAAATAATTCTTTAATCGAATTTTTTTAAAGCTTATTTCATTAAATCCTATCGACTTTAATGATCTTTTTTCACAATTATTATTATAGAATTGGAATTTTCTATTGCTTTCGAGTATTATTTATAATATGGTGGAGGTGCCAGGTTTCATTAATAAAATTATAATCTTTTATGAATATATAATAAACTGTTTGGGCAATATTTGGTCATTCTGTATTTTATACATAAATATGTTAAAATAAAATTTTAAAAAAATAATAAAATTTTATGTTTTTCAATAATAAAAAAAATAAAGCCATTAAGTTGATATGAATATATAATGAACTTAAAACTAAATATATGTTTTGTGTTTATTAGGTCTAGTACTTCTGAGATTACCCTCATATCTCTTTCACCTTGATATCAAGTCACGCACGTAGTTCATTTTAAATATCGAAACTTCTCATACCTTCAACGTACGTTTATTAGCCACATCTTTTCCAAATACTTTCCTTGAGACTTCGAGTTGTCTGCGCTGCATTAGTTCGTAATGTAATCTTCAAAAGGCAATTTGTAAGATAATCACAAACACACATACACATAAAAACATACATCGGGTATCAAACTTGGTACTTGAGGTAATAGGACATTTTATACTTAATGACATAAATTTAAAAATATCTATATACAATTTGTTTTCTATTATATCACTTGTGAAAAGACATAACATAAATGTAAGTTGTCTTTTCACATTAAATAACATTTAATAGTTTTGTAACAGTTTATATCTATATTTTGATATGATTTGATTTATAAATACATACTTATTCTTATTTAAATAATATTTATTGTAATAGTCTTATATAAAGAAATTTAAAAAACATAGTTTCAGAAAAATAATGAACTATTACAAAGGGCTATTGACCATAAGTCTTTTCATATTATTTTAAATTGTTTATAAATGACTGTTGAAATAAACCTTATTATATTGAGTATACATTTAGTTATTTTAAGGCTTAAACACTTTCTAAAAAAAAATATTTAAAAAATAGATAATACTAATTGTTGATTAAATTTTAATATTATCTGAAAACATAAAGCGATTTCTATAAAAAATATTGATTTTTTTAATAAGTAACATAAATTACATGACTACAGTCGTGTATAATGGGAAGTATAAGTTTCAGGCGAATAAAGATTTCTATTGAATGAAAAAAATAGTTTTAAATAGTCGCCTGTATCATGAAAATCTGATACGAAAGGTCGTTGGTTCGATTCCCAAAAACCAATAATATTTGTGTGGTCCGATAAACCCGAAAACGGGTAGAAATAGGGCCAAAGAAATTTATAACAATAATAAATCTCTTTATTATTAGTTTTAAGAAATGAGATATGGGACTATCAAGGCCATCTTTTGGATACAATTATTTCATTGAGAAATTTAATTATATAATTAATAAATAATTATAGAGAAGCAAGACATTTTCTTATAGAATTTAAAATATATAAATGTTTTAGTATTTTTTTGGAGGGGTTTGCAAAAAATAATTTTCCAAGGGCCCAACTATACTTAGTAAGTAACTGTGGATTATTTAATTAATTCAAACGTTTTCAACTTATTCTTGATGAAACAGACATTAAACATATAAATTGAAACCGATTTAAGAAGTGGCGCAATTTAATTGTGGCCACTCTAAATATTTCCTATACAAATTTCAATTTAGTTAAGAAATGATATCGGAAGTATCTGTTTTTGATAGTCCGCAATAAGGTTGTCGTGGGCCCGATTTAAATTATGAGGCCCACTTGATATAAAACGCTACTCTGTCATTTTCACATATAACAATAATTATTATATATTCTCTCATGTTTTCCTTATATTTATTCGAATAAATGAATTTATTTCAGGTTTAATTCAACAAAAGTTAACAAAGAAACAGAATTACTTCTTTCAATAAAAATAGTTTATAAAGAAAGATATCTATATCAAATCATAAGAGTTATTTTTGTTGGAGATATGATAGTATCTAAATTAAAAATAAAACTTTTAATAATTGGTATCACATGGAGATTTCAAAGCGTTGTAAAATAAATTATAATTAATTAATTATAAAATGATGTTAAGTATGTTGAATAATTTTAAATAGTTTATTTATCAAGTAATAAAATGAAATTACATAATTTAAAGTAAAAACAGTGCAGTTATTTCAATTTAAAAATATTTTTTGAAACCAGTTGCTCTGACAAATTCTATTTTCCAAATATTGAATCACTCTAGTGAATCATCGCCGAGAACCGTTTTTATTTTCCGTTTCTTTTTATCCCTCTTTCTGCCTCTTTCACACTTCATGGCTTCAAAGCGAATTCAAGTGGAAAGAGAGCAGATAACCAGAGCCGATTCGTAATTCCCGCTTATCAAACAAAATAGTTTGGGGCGACGTCATTTCCAGGTACACAAACCGCTGCCAGTATACCAGATTTGACAGTTGCGCTAAGGCCGTCAAAAACAACACAATGGTACGTATGCAAATAGCGTTTCGTGGTTTTTCCGGCGAATTTTCGCCCCATTTACCACGACGACTTTCCAACCATTACGGAATGATCAGATCTGTCTTTGTTGCAGGCTAATTACACCGAGGATCAAATGGCTGGTAAGTGCAGAAACACACAAGATATTCATTTATTTGTAGGCTATGTTGCCCCGCCTTAGTCGGCTTCCACCGTTTCACTCTTCTCTCCACATTAATTTCTCAGTTATTCCACTTTAAAACTCGTATTAAAACACGCCCAATATCTGTCTGGACTCTTCATCCTCAGACCAAAAAAAAACAATTTTTGGCATTTCTTCCACCTTTTCCCAATGTTTAGTTCCAATCTTGCGAAGCAAAAGCTCTCCATTTTTTCAATTTCAATCCTAATCTAATCTCAAAGTTTATCTATCGATGTTAATTCAAACACATTAAATTCGTTCTTAATTAATTTATTTTCACAACTTATTATTATAGCTTTTATCATTTTACAATTGATGTTTATAATTATTTGTTTCATTTTGATGACTCAGTATTTAACAAAGAATCATTGAACTAATTTCTTCACTTATTGCAAACCAATTATCTTAATATCAACAATCTTTTTTTACTCAACATAAGGCTGTTCTTATGATTACATAAATAAAATATATTTATACCTTATGTATATATATATATGTGTATATATATACTTCATTCGACCCTAACCATATAAAGTATGAATCATTGGAACTGGTTCTCAATACTATATAAGGCATGAATTTGAAAGTAACTCTTCTGAGGCTTTGTGCAATTGATGCTCTAGAAATTTAGTTAATACCCAGTTTCTCATCACCTTGTGCACACTCACACAGTCTGCTCACTTCCAGACCATTTTAACAATGTACCTGTACGATCCTCCCAGTAAATTGTCTCTAACATCAGTGGAAGGTTAAAAAAAGTTTCATATTCTGAGTAAATTAAATATAATCATCCTTTAATATTGCAGAGTTCCAAGAGGCTTTCCAACTCTTTGACAATCGTGGAGATGGGAAGATCCATGTTGCCCAAATTGGTGATGCTTTGAGGGCCTTGGGTCAAAACCCTACAGAGTCTGATGTCAAGAAATACACTTTCCAGCACAAACCTGATGAAAGGATCTCCTTTGAGGTGTTCTTGCCAATTTACCAGGTATGTTATTATTAAATAAAGAAAACCATATGGCATTTTAGTATAATTATTAACAAAATTAAGAAGTTTTAACACAAACAGATTTAGTTTATATAAAATTGGGTAAATTGGGGAAGACATATTATATATAAGAAATACTTCAGTATTGCATTTTTATATAAATTTTACGTTGAATTGTGAATTTGAACTGTAACCGTTTCTTATGATAAACATGCCTTAAGCTTTATAAATATTTGCTTTATTGAAACTAAACATACTTCACTTTGTGAACATAACATTCAGTTGAGGTTTTCAAATTTCATTAGCTTGTTTCAATCCAATTTGAATCCTTTTTTTATAATCATTCCATTTATTAAATTGCAGCACAATTGTAATGATCTTTTTCTTTCTCATTAATTTCTATATGAAAAGAATGAATCTTAACAAAAAATATTTTTATGAAGGATTTAGGATTTATTACAAATAATCCAATCTTAGTATTGAATTTATAAAATTTATTTGTGTAATATTTTCAAATCCAATTGGATTAAGATAAAATCATAGAGAATCCTAGCATTTGTAATGTAATGAGTTTACACACAGTTCATGTGTGATTTCAGCTTTCTTGAAATATTCTTAGTGCGTCAATGTTTATAGTGTGGCAATATTTTGATTCTTTTACACAATTTTCTGTATTTATTTAATTTTTGGTATACAAATGAAAGTAGTTTTCTTGGATTTAGTCCGGATTTGCGGCAGATTGAACTACTCTAGAAACCGCAACCGTCATTTTCAGCGATTGTTAAAAAATATCTTTAATTTTGAATAGTTTATATAATTAGGAATTCATTATTGTTTAATATTGATTATTATAAAGAAAAATGATTATTAATATGTACAGCTTTCAGTATCAATATTAAAATATTGATTGTTATAAATAATATGTTTAATTTTCTTATTATATATTTTTGTTTTATAGCAAATTTCGAAGAGCAGAATTCCAGACACCGCCGAAGACTTCATCGAAGGTTTACGTCATTTCGATAAAGACGGAAACGGTTACATAAGTTCCGCCGAGTTGCGCCATTTATTGACAACTCTTGGCGAGAAATTGACCGACGATGAGGTACGTGATCCAAACTGAAAACGGCACTTGTTTCTCGACCAACGTCCAAAAAAAAACTTACACTTGTATTGATTTCAGGTTGAACAACTTCTGCAGGGACAGGAGGATTCCCAAGGCAACGTGAACTACGAAGACTTCGTGCGCCTTATTATGACTGGTTAGATCGAAAATATATCAATTTGCTAGTGCCTGAAGGAGGATTTCAACAGCATTTAACCCACTTAAATTATTTTAATTATTTTTTTTTGAGACTTAAGAGAGCAACAACTTAAACGATTTATATTTTTTACTTTCTTTACGGATTTACCTTCATTCCATTTTTGATCTTCTCTTTGTATATCTATATATATCTTTTGTAACTGCGCTAGATTTTTTATAATGAGTGTGTAAAACACGTACGCTGTATCATTGTTATATTTATGTAAGGGAAATTTAATAATAAATATTTACCATTTAGTGTATAAAAGAAAAAATAGGAATACCGGTTAGTTATTGTATTAAATTATTCATATAAACCGGTTAATAATAGACTTGTTTGACATACTAGCAAGACTATATACCTTTTCCGTTTGATATCGAATCTTTGCAATTTGATTAACTATACAGAATCACTGCATAGCAAATGTACTTTGATTATTATGATCACAATCATTTACTTTAGAGAAATAAGAAAAATTATTTAAAATAAATTTTGTAATGTTATTTACTTAATAGTTAATAGAAGACTGTCTTAATGAGACTGATTTATTGAATGTTAGTATTTTTATACTTTTGTCTTAATTAGTTATATTGGTTGCCTATAATAAACTATCAATACATATTACTACCCATAAATAACTACGTCATTGCTTTAAATTTTATTTATTATATTTCACTTATCACTCTGGAAAATTTATGGTATTTTACAATCAATATTGAGTAAAGTATCCAAAACTAATGAATACCGATTTTACTCTTTCAGGGTCGATGTTACACGCATTGTATTTGTACCACCTTTTGAACATGTCTAGTGGGGCATTATTATAATTTTCTAGAAAATACCCAAGAAAGAGGATCTCCGTTGGTATGTCAAGGGATGAATTTAGATAGGTCATACCATCCAATGACGATCAGTTGGCTGATGCAGTTGTTTAGAAATTTGTTGGATCTAGGAATTCTGACCCTTCAAAAAGTTAATATATATGCATCAAATTAAAATAATAAATATAACCTGTTACTATTGATCACAGATCTTTCCGCCTAATAATTTTATATAAACATTATTCTTGTACTAAACGTTTTAAGGAAATCTTGGATTGTTTTTACAAATGCTTCAGATATACAAATAATTTTATTTAATTTTATAATTAAATTTGTTATTCTAATTATTTCTTAGGATGATTTGAGTTATTTAATTCCACATATATTATGAATATTTTGAGCTAAAAATTTAAAATGTTCATGTTAAATCTCCAGTTTTACTGTAAATCAGTGTCTGCCAAACTGTATTTCGCGAGAGATTCAAGCGAATGATTTAGTAAAATAAAAATAGAGTACTCGCATAACGAGCAAAACAAATTGTAACAAAAATTACTCGCATAACGAGTGACGAGTAGCAGAGAATATTATATATATTTTATCTTTAGACTTAGAATATATTAACCATCTTCAATTTTTTTTTGGCATCTCTGTTTATAGTGGACTATACTTTGAAAAATTTGTGTTCAATCATTAGTACAGTATATTAACAAACTATGTACGCTTTTTATATAGACAAATATAAAAAGTGTAAAGAGACCTCCACTGACCTACACAAAGATCGATCGATCGATACAAGTATTATAAACCAATGGAGTCAAGCGTAAACTCACTTCGCCATGTGTGAAGTTGCATGTTAGTATCGTTTGTGATCACACATTTTTCCAAACTTGTGTTCGAACATATTATTTGTGATTGTTTTTTGGTGCAAATTTTAATACTAATTAATAATAATAATTAATCGTATCACTATCGTATTTTACATTCACTATATGGGAAAAATTGTTTCGCTTTGCGAGTAAGGAATCCTGAAACGGATTATGCTTGTTAACTCTTCGAGGTACACGCAATGTACTACCTTTTGGAGATGCCTAGTGGGGCATTATTATAATTTTCTAGAAAATGTATAGGAAAGAAGAATTACCCTTTAATTGGCTTGGTATCAAAGGATAAATCTTGATAGGCCATACCATACGATGTTGATTCAGTTAACGTTGTCGTCCGATTCAATTGTCCAGAAATTAGTTAAGTTTAGAAATTTAGGAATTTCTGGCCGCTCAAAGAGTTAAGCGAGGTTCCACTGCATAGATAAACATATTTGAGTTCATTTTGTTGGAATATTTATTTGGTGTGCCGCGAAACAAATTATTCTCGCTTTATGACAAAACTAACGTATTAACTTATTTATGTATATTGTACATTATTTTCTGGAATCATTACATTATTTTCTGATCGAAATTAAATGTGGAATGTTTTAAACCTGGTTTAAGTAAGTAGGTATTATATATTTTTTTTAACTACCTAACTTCTTAATAACTATTGATTAACGTAAAATAATTTATAGGTAAAAAAACCTTGATCTTTCTCTTTCTTGGAGAAATACGTTTCTGTTTTAAATTGGCTAATATTTACATTTTCGTTCATTTCAATGATTTTCTTATTTCATTAAACTTATTGCATTTTTATTCAAATTTAGTCGGATGTTTTTTTTTTCGTTTAACAAAATTATTAATGAATTGTCTAACTGAAATAAAAATGAAATATATAGGTTGCAATTATCACCTTGTAGTTTGACGGAAAGTGTACGCATACGTGAATGTTGAACATTTGTGCGAGCAATTCTATAAGTATGAAGAAATTTTAAATTTCATTCATTTTATTCCATAATATCTAGATGATTTTCTGCGATTTTTGGGTAAACAAATATACGTATGAACGTACAATTATATCACACAAATAAATCGTCTTCTGTATAAAGAAATTAAGACGTTATCTATTTTTTACTAAAACACGTTTTAAAAATAAATAACATCATGATCTGACAGATATAAAATTATTTGATGTAGAGATGCAATTTTACAGCTTATGATGGTTGAACAGAAAAGTTAGTATGAGATCAATTCGATACATAAATATTAAATACATACATTTAAAAATCATTCGCAGATACGTACTTGAGTTTTTGTGGGTATACCGTATGTACAATGATATCATTCAAATAAATAGTCTACTGCATAAAGATCATTTCCCAAAACTCGACTTGATTGAAATAAAATTGAAATATGTAATTCATTTGATAGATGTGTATGAAAATTCCTAGCTTCTTTTGGTTGTGTTAATGGACAAGTGCAAGTGTTGTCTAAAAGTCACATAGAAAATACATGCAAATAACAAGTATTCCTTTTTTTGTGGTAGTCTGTAGCACAAAAATCTGGTATAAAAATTGATAGGTTCAAATGACAACAACAATAAAAGTCTATTGTGTCGTCGATAGGCAGAAGGTAGGTAAATATTAGAAATTTGTATATTCAATTACTTCGCTTAGTGTATTGTCGGGTTCGGTTAACGTACATTTTACATTAAGTGAGTCCTTACTGTAACTACCACAAAACATGTACTCATGTAAGTATAGTTGCCTATACATCAGAATAGTGTTGTGACAACGAGAATTCCCCCACTCCGAAGATTCGACAGCTGCGAGCGTCTCGACCGGCTCATTTGCACGGAGCAATATGGCGCTGGGCAGTTGTGTACGTTCCTTTAGTGTGTTTAGTCATCAGTGAGAGAATTTCGCGTTTTCGCCCGAAACTCCATCAATATATAGGAATTCCGATTAGATTTTGGAGAAAATGCAGTCGCGTTTATGAGAGGTGTTCGGTCGCGTGTGCAAAGCTAGGACAATATGACCCGGACAAATTCCCACTGGACGAGAAAACTTCTGAAACCTGCGCTGGAGTGCGTCTTCTTGGCTTTTGTTTTGACGTCTACGTCTGAAGGTAAGGCTCCGCACATCATGTTTTTTCAGTCACCTCTGGACATCGCGTTTGACCACAGAACCATCGGAAAACTTACCCAATCGATTCTAAAGAGTGTAAATATTCGTTTGAGCCCTGTATTGTATCCGAAACCGGCGATTTTCATTCAAAATTTGCGATTCCTAGGATAGAGCCTCGGTCGCCAATGGCAATGCTCTTTCCAACATCTGAACGCACAACAACAACTTGATCATCGAACTTCTTCATCTCAAATAATTTAACGTTTATTCTCTCTAAATCTCATTCGAACAGGTGCTTTTCTTATTAGATATACCTTGATTAGAGGTGTCTATGCTTTCCTTCTGCCCGGTCGTCCATCCTCCAGCCTCCTTAAATTGATAATCATCGGGTACGGGCATGCATTTATATCCCTTATATGTGTCAAGAGACGATGCATACAGGATGTTCGCTTTTTCAATCCAGTCTTTCTCATGCTTTTGGACCTTCATTAAAACAAATTAGGTTTCACTGCACCGCACGGATATTCTAATTGCCTTTATTTAATGTAATCTCATTACGATTTACATAATCAACCCCGAAGCTCGAGAAATTCTGATATAAATATTATTTTTCATCGATCAATTTATTTCAAGTAAAGTGCATTACGATTACATTGTTAATACTTTAACGAATTTATAACGTAATATGTTGTTTTCTCACCCAACTTGAAAACATAATTATCATCTGTTTGTTTGTATAACTTATTTAAACGAAACAACAGCATTGCAAAACAAACAAATAATGAAATAAAAAAAAACAATTCATTAAAAAAAATCATTTAAAACAAAACAAAAATAATAAATTGAAGATTTACTAATGATATTGATAATTTTGTACATGCAACTTGTTTATTTCAGTCTCAATCTTTATTTGCATAGATTATTAATTACTCAATCCTCAGTTGTTATTTAATTAATTAATTGTTTTTGATATTACATTCTTATCACGCATTATAGCATTTTCTCGACATTTCTGTAGAATCATATGAAACATGTATTTGAAATCGATTTAATTTTTATTTTTTTAAATAAATTATTAAATAAGTTATTATCTTTTCTTATGTAATCACTTAATAAGTACTTATTAATACAATAGAAAATAATGATTTTAATAGCATTTTTTCTTTCTAAAGAAGCCAATAATCATAAATTTATAACACAAGTTGAGGTAAAATATTACTGCATAAAAACGTCTACTCTTCTTTTTTTAACATTGTACCAATTGATTGTTTCATATTTACATTTTGATAAACGGTATTTGAGATATGGGAGCGGAAAATACGCAGAACATTCATGGTTTGCAATAACACAAACAAATAAATTATATTTTCTGATTCTCGATTAACCAAATAATAGCATTCTGTACATAATAAAATTATGTCTCCCACTTGAAATTGTATAAAACCAATCAATACAAAAACATATTGATGATTGAATTTTTCCTATAAGATCAACATATTATCATAATATCTGTGTCTAGTAGTTAGCATCACAGTTGCATTGCTACGTTTAACAGATCTTTACGTAATCTGCAATGTAACCTAAATACAGTGCGCCATTTAGCTTATTAACACTTCTATTTATTAATACGTCAAACTAGTTCTCGGGGCAAATGGAGTAAACTAATAATGCAATGTACTAATACTAATTTGTACATATCAAAATGTTTACCGTGTCTACTTTGAAATCTGTTTTATGATGAATTGTGACAAATCTTTAAGTATTAAATCAAATCTAAATTTTTCATTTTTTATGGGTTAACTGTAGTAAATTAAAACGTAGATAATTTGCTAAATTGATAAACCTTAATAATTATGTTTTATTAAAGCTAAAAACTTCATTAATCTTAATTAAGGTAAACTGTGACCTTAGTTAACGATCATAATGTATACGCAAATTATGCTTTACGCTAAGCAAATGTACTTTAATAGAAATGTGAATTATCATGTATTTTCAGTTTTTCGTTAAATATGTCACATTATTCATTCGGACGTACACTTTGCCGTCGGACTGATTATTGACATATTTGTTCACTTAAAAGAGTTTTAAAATTTAATAGAATTCTTAATCTTAATATGATTACTTTGTGCACAGCGAATGTACAAATATTTATATACAAAACGGTAATCATAGTAATGCTATGTTTTTCAAATGATTGGTATAAAATAAGAATGTGTGAAAGTACTTGATTTGTTTGTACGTCCCGCTGGTATTAATAAATAGATGTGCAGTAAATCAGAATCACAGGAAATAAATAACGTGCACACCCTGTAGATACAAATAAATGGCGGGTTGATCTTGTAAATGATTTGACCGTCCCCCCAGCCACTCCGAATCCCAAATTACATATCATTTGTTTCTCGGAGCGGTTTCCCAGCCTCCGAATCCCGAGATGGCCTTTTAGGATATACGGAGCGAATGAATGCTGGTCCGACCATAGAACAAAAAAAAATAAAGCACTCGAAAAACCAAAGCAAATTCAAAACACCTGCGCTGCGCGCATTGTATTCACTTTTTTTTCTAAATAACTTTAATTCGAGTTTTCGAAGAGAAAACATTATATTTAGTTTGATTTTTCTTTTGGTCTTTAAAGGAGGAATCGATGTTGGTAAACAGTCATGACATCCTCCACTTATCTTCAATTATCGGAAAACGCAAGGTGAATACTTTCAACACACCGTCGCTCTCATCCATTGCCTATCATTAAGCATACAAACTAAATGATTTCCAGAGAAAACTGTTATTAAGCAAATAAAATGCGTATATCTGCCGTTTTATAATTACTTAATTGCATAAAGTCGTAGAAGGAATTACACGGAAACGGCTATTTTCCATATATCCTACATATATAAACGATGTTACTGGTAATTGGCCACCTATGATACAAGCCAAGAAAACGATTGCGAAAATGGCAATCTTCATTATATGAACAATCGTATTCTAACAATGAACAAAACGATGCGAATCATATTTAATTGTGTTGAGTCCCACTACAATACTGGTATACCTCCTTTGAGGATACAAGTGTAAAGGCATGGATTTTCTCCTTCTCTGGATTTGTGTACGGTTGTGAGATTTTATTGGGCCGTGAATAATTCCCATGTAAGGTTATCTTCGTTATGCATTGCGGTTGAATTGTTTCATTTGCTTGGGACCCAGGGATGCCGTCGACACAGTAGTGTGTATCCCTACCAAAAAGGGACTTTCACTGTGGAAAATCTGCACGCCCACAGAGACCACATTATTGCAGGCCCCTGCGATTATTTACAATATATTCATTCAGCAGACAATGCGATCGCCACCTCCCAGCTTATTAAATTATTGCTGCGGATTGTTTTCTTTTTTGTTTTTTTTTTCTATCCCGTTGTCGCATGCAAATAGCAGCAATTCTTTCGGACTTGCATAAATCTAATTTTAGTATGTGCGTAGTGCAGACGTTGAGCACAGGTATCTGGCACATGCTGAGCATGCAACTGGATATGGAGAAGAAATCTTTAAACGGGCTGACTGTTGCCGGTTACTGGAGTAATTAATATTTAGCTCTATAAATTAAAATGTAATAAAATATGTATGTAATTTTTCCACTCAATTACTCTATGATTTAATCTGTTGAAGGATTATGTAATAAAAATACTGATGTGAAGTATTATAAATAGTATTTGCACTTTTTACTACATAAAAAACGTCTTTGAACGTACATGAGCTCATAATCTTTCGAAAAAATACATTACCTAAAATATTCAACTATGAGTAAAATGTATTGTATATATAAAAAAATACATACATAGGGCTTTTGACCGCAATCTTTTTCTTACTGAACTTAACAGCCAACAATAAAGTATAGAAATGATTAATTGGTGTGCATTAATACTCTAAATATGAATAGATTTGCAGATATAATAATGGAGGTTAGGTCAAACAATCAACGCTAAATGTTAATTGAAGCAACTAAGAAACATTGTTGCTTACAAATTTACAATGGAAATCCTTTTTGTAGTTCTTGAAACCATGATGTAACTATTTCTATTTCGAAACAATTGTGAAACAGGATTTTCCAATATTTCTTTTGTATAAATAACAAAACGAAACTATCTTTAAAAGACTTGTGAGTTGTTTTTTTTTATCTCTAATTAATCCTCATTATGTGTTACTGTTAAATAATTTATCAATATTTTATTAATCTTTTTGACTGTTTTTTTTTAATAAACAATTTTGTTCGTAACAAAAAAATGTTTGCATTAATATTATCCGCATATATCTACTAATATTATTAAAATTGTATTGTTTAGAAATGCAATTGGCTCTACATACAAAGTAAGATATTGTAGTGAAAATATTTGTGATCATTAGTTTTGCCTTCAAGTGCTTAAAAGTTAAAAGCGACTTGACACCTGAAGAAATTACAGGTTAAGGTAAATAACCGCAGAAAGATAATGGTCAGTAAGAATGTTACCTGGAATACATCTATATGGAATACCTGAATCCATACATTCTATTTGAATATATTTAAAAATAAATTATGGAAGATTTTTTCTCATTTACTGATTATGTGTTAAAAAAATTCAGGATTTACAAAGTGTTCCGTTAGGAAATGTGTTGCAGAAAAAAAAAGTTTAATAGTCTGTAAATATATAAATCATTTTTTATTAGACTTTTATTAGAGGATTGCACAAATTGTGTAACGCTGAGGATCTCGTTAATAGGTAAAGACTGCTTTGTACTCAATGAAGATGAAGTTTCAAAGGGATTATATATAAACATAACATTATATACATTTATGTTGATTTTATATTTCGAAAGCTTTGAAATAATAAGAAAATGTTTTATCTGAAGTGATTAAAGATTTATTAATTTTGGAATTAATAATCTAATGTTAAAGTTTTTTTTCAATTAACATGAACTTTATAATTGATGATACCTGTATGAAATTTTCTTTTATTATCGTAGAGAAAACATTGTCAT